CAAAGTTTTCTTGGTATATGCTTTGAGAAATCTGTTTTCATTCTTTTTTATCATTTCGGCGTCTACTCTGTAGCTATACCAGCCATCACTTTCAGGAGTGAATGTACAGTGAGGGTATTTTGACGAACTTTTGGCTGGGTCACAAATCTGTCACCCAGTGTAATTGTGACAGCCTGTGACTCAAATAAAATACCACTTCTCCATCGGAAATTGAAAATATAATGCTTGCTTAAGGTTTCTGATCATATTTACTATGCAAAGGTTCTAGCACACTTGTTGCAATTACTTATTTAAAAGAAAGAACATTATATCATTACTAGAGATAGACGCTTGACATATTTGTAAAGTCCTTGTCTTTAAATAACTTTTTGTTGAGATTAACACTTCTTGAATGTGATGATCACATATAAGGATGCTGATTATCTTGGTCGATTCTTTCTTCTTCTTCGCCTTATTTTTAACAAATAGATAAGCAGAAACTCTTCAACTCGCCTCTGATTTTTCTTGCTTTATTATTAATAAAATAATATCATAATGTCACTACAACTTTTTTATTACAACTAGTCAACTAACATTATTATGTACAACGGACAATCTTCATTCTCTAGCCTTACCGATTAAAGGGTGATAAATGCTACAAAAGGAGCTGAAATCCTTGAACGCACTCTGCTAGGACTTGAGAAAGAACGACCAAGAGATACTACATTGGCGTACAAAAAGAAGTAGGAGATCTTTATGGTACATGTCATATATGGATGCACGGTATGAACGCGCTTACACTTCATATTTCAATTGGACTTTTGCATAGAAAATCACTATGAAGATGGTTATATTATAACTGAAGCGAAGCTATTGCGTTTTCTTGATAAAGTCGTTGTACCTAGAGGTAATTTAAAGAAGGGTCGAAAGGATGATGGCTCCGCACATGAAATTAAAATGGAAACTATTCAACAATACATCGAGGCGGTGGTTAACCTTCATGCAATTCAATTTTCCAGAAATATATCCAGGGAAGCTAGCGTCCGTGGTGTTGCTCTGCGTGCATGGCTGAAGGACAGACGACATAGTAAACGACAGCGAAGACGTGAGAGCTACGAGGGTCCCGCTCGTCCCACTGCACAGGACGGTTAAACCCCTGAAGAACTTGTCAAGCTATCAATATTCTATTTCAAAGAAGGAAAGGAGAAGTCATTCAGGGGCCGAGTGCTCTTTCTGATGCAACGTATGATGCTGTTACGTGACAAGAGCACTAGAGACATCGAGCTATGCGACCTTTTCCCTTTAGAATTCAAGGATGAAGTATTCTCTGAATGTCCCGTACTGATTCTACATCTGGATCATGGAAAAACAGTCAAGAAGTGTATCCAGTATGCTGGTACCATCCGACACTGTGACTATCGCATGTGTGCTTTTGGCGCGCTAGCTATGTACTTCTTTTACAAGTGAGTTGATTGAATGTCGGCAACAACGTTATATTCAACTAACTAATTTCCAGATGGCATATAACGAATGAGGACTTCTCTTGCTTTAACACGAACATGTGCTAGTTTAGCTTGGAAATTGCCAAAGGAGTATACTATAACAAGCCCTTGACCTACGCAACACATTACGCAGCAACCACCCGTTCTTTCGATGCCTGTTCCGTTAGTATAAGCAAGAACACCCATCCGGGCCGTGGCAGTGGAGCTCATCATGCTGAAATAGACGGAGCAACAGAAGTCCAACTGCGTCGACACGGTCGTTGGAATATGCAGAGCATGGAGGCTTGATACTTGACATCGCTGCCTCGTTCATCTATCGAATTATCAATGGTTTCTTCGGGAATAAAGGTGATTACTGGCTTCCAAGGAGCAATATTTACCCACCAGAAAACCTTCAAAGGAAAATGTTCCCCAAGGCGGACGAGTGGCTGGAGCGTGTACGATCTCGCAGTTGCGAACATTCAATCTGTGCTGAAGCGTTCCTGTCCCTGCTCATCACCATGCGAAGGGTCATTTTGCAAGCTGCTGTAATGTTTTGTGTAGAACACCATGAAAATCCATTCTTCAACAATGTTCTCTTCAGCGATCCAGAGTTCTTAGTATTCGAAGCTAACCTCTTGTCTACTGTACAAGCCACACAAGGACCAGCCGACATCAAAGTATGCAGGGCTTTACCTTTGGTTAGTGAACACTTGCAAATGTTAAGTGCAAAGATGGACGCAAATCAACGTATACTGTCCAATCTTATCAGTAATAAAAGCCAGGCCCAACTGAAGCTACTGTAGGAATCAAAAATGACATCCTTGGGCTCAGACAAGGCATGCAAATGTTGAGGTAGGCATGCCCATTGTTTACTAATGGAGCCTCAGTAGCACAACAACAGCAGCCATAATCACTAACGTCTTGCCCAGCTCTAACACAACTTCCCACCAGTATCAGCTCGATAGGAACATCAGTACCGTTGTAGATCTCTGGAGAGAATGGTCTGAGTGCTTACGGCCGGATCCGCCTTCAGCGATGGAGCTTGACAGTCAATTTAGAGCTACGTGGAGATCATGTCCAAAAGATTGATTAGATCAAATATTCTTTGTAATGACATATATGTAATAACTTTTCTTAGAGCGTTAATTTTACTCTAGACGTTTGACCATCATATATGAAATACACCGCATTTCTCAGGAGAGCTCCATGACAGTTGCCGAGACTGTACAGATGTTAGAAGGAAAGCGACAAGAAAGTAGATGGCCGCTCAGTAGGCTGACGAAGGAGCTACGCAAACAACAATAAAAGTCATAATGTTATCATTATCTTTTTGATATATGTCGTATTCTTTCTTGTTATGAATGTTAACCATTACTTATACAATATATACATTTAATTTATTAAAGTGTTACTTAGCGAAGCCAACAGGAATCGTTGTATACAAGTGGGTTTAGCAGGAGCAATATGGTGTAGGAAGCCCAAGTGGGGAATCCGTCGATGAAGGATTTTGTACCAAATGGCGCGTGTGAGGTGAGGTATTTTAGCAGACTATAGTTTCAGCCAAACTCGAGCTGAAAGGACCGGAGGGCAAGATAGTGAATTGCACGGAGAAGAATCACGGGATGGTCGAAGAGTAGCAGGATTATATAGACGGCCAAGAAATCTGTACGCTTTACTCTCTTTGTTTATCTTTTGTAATAAAGTGTAGGCTTTTATTTCTCTATTTATTTACATCAGATGACAACATTGTATATAAACAGCAGTCAAGGATTCCCTCTTTTTAAGTCTCATTTTATTAACAAGTTGATTTTGCTTTAAAAGTTTAACTGTTTGACTAAGTGATTCTTTATTCTTTACAGGATAAGTAGGAATACTCAATACTACAGATAGCAGCGTTGGGCCACGAGCCTCACTAAAATCAAACACAAAAAAACTTTCAGAATTCAAAAAGGAATATGTGATTCTTAGCGTGGTTTGGAATATGATACAAGAAATAATGGAATCAAACGTCAGTCTCGAAAAGAGGTATAAAAAATTGACGGGCTAAATTCTACAACTAACCAACAAAGAACATAGAAGGAGGTGTTCCGTTACGCGTAAGTACATACCGGTGATTAAATTAAACTACATACTAAGCCCCAATATGCACCTATATAAACAAAACCTCTTCACAAATAGCAACGTCAAGCGCTACTCGGAAGAGGACCACAAACTCAAGTTCTGGGTCATCACCCTAGAGGAGATTTTTGTATATTCTTCTGTAGTCATCAGTGTTTAATGAAATAAATCCTTATTATACCTTATAATCTCTCTATTTATTTATCGTACATCAGATGACAATAATATTGACCACATTTTCATATGAAGATCAGCCTCCTATAAAACTCTTTCCTCAAACATTTCTTTGATTTTTAACTCTTTCTTTTTACTTTGTTTGTGGTCGACTTAATTTTACAGTAATGGTAAGTTGAATACAACACGACTTCATTGGATTATTAACCGTATCTAACTGAATTACATTAGGGAGACACTGTTCCGAACAGTTTCAAGAGCATAGACGCAAGGTCCAAGTTGGATTTGAGGGTTCTGCCTTCTGCATTAGTAGCTCATCTTGATACATGCCTGGGCAGTTCGCAGCTGGTAATTTTAAATTTTACATTATAAGTTGAACTGTTTGACCAAGTAATTCTTTATTCTTTGCAGTATAAGTAGAGATGACATATATGATGCCACTGATTGTAGCGCTGGCGCACACAATGAATACCCATCCTTTGCGTCAATGAAAAACGAATATGAAATCCCTGATGCAATTTGGCAAAGCCTTAAAAACATAATGCATTCAAGCAACAGCATTGCCAACAAACTGAAAAGGGTAGATTCCTTAAAGCCTTGCAATATTAACGAAAGATCGCAAAAAGAGGTGTACAGACACTTGTAAGAACACGTAGAATATCCAAAATTGAATTACACACTAAAGGTTGTATCTCATTTTTTAGACTAAGTATGAACATATACAAGGCGCATTTGTTTTCCAATGGACAAATAAAAAATTATTCAGAGGAAGATTACAAAGTGATGTTCTGGTCTTTTATTCTGGAAGAGCTCTTTGGTAATTCTTCTGTAGTCATCAGTGTTTAATGAAATAAATCCTTATAACTTTTTATTCTCTATTTGTTTACTGTACGTCAAATGACAGTAATATTGACCACATTTTCATGTGAATAGCAGCCTCCCATAAAACTCTCCTTTTAATTTTTAGCTCTTTTTTGTTTGTGATCGACTTAATTTTACAGTAATGGTAAGCTGAATACAACATGGCTTCAGGCACTAGATTATTAACCGTATCTAACTGAATACATTAGAAGAGATACTGTCCCAACCAGCTTTAGAAGCTTGGACGCAAAGTCAAAGCTGGATCTTAGGGGCCCTTTTTACTTCTTCTGCGGCCCAACCAGACCCATGTCTAGGCCGTTGTAATCAACAATAGAATTAGCACATCAAAGAATAAATCCACTAGTTAGATCCCTGACGATGACCCCTTAGACAACATGGTGTTGTAAAGAATGTAGAAAACAGAGCAGTTAGAATCATAATCAACCACAAGTAAATTCATCAAGCTTATAGACACAAATTATGCAGTAGACTTTCAAATCATTGACTATAAATTTCCTTATTCTAAATACCCTTTGAACGGGAGCTTTATATTATCAAATAAAAGGGTCCTAAAAGTATTGACCTGTCTTTTTGATAATATAGAGCATAGGCGAATTTGGCAAGCAATGTACAGCTGAAAAAATGTACCTTGATAAGCTGAAGCTGGAATTGATTTCCAAGTTTCACCTTAATCATTACAAGGCTCGTTCAACAAAAACTGTATTGTATTGAGGAAATTAGGGCGTTTTTCGTTCTCAATTTCCTCAATACAAGTAGAGTAAGGAGGCACTGAAGAGCTTATCAATGTGCTCTCCTTCGCAAAAGTAAATGCTATACTTTAACTGTAAGAGAACACTAATCAAAATTCTGGTTATTTAGGATCATGTTTTCAAGTTAAAACAGCAGATGAATTATGAGAAAAGGACAGAAGCATCAATAACATAACAAAGGTATTGAATCTCCACGTCTCAGCCACCATAGCAGCTTGACTATTTTATATTTAATATATAATAAACTTTAATTACTTTGCACAATAATAATGCATGATTTTACTTTAGTAAAGAATACCACAGTTCTATAAAGTTTAATACATTTCCGATATGCTTACGCAATACAAGCGCAACTTATGCAAAGAAAGTCTTTTTACCAATGAAACTGCAAGTATCCTTTAAACTTCACACGTCTTGTGCTATGGGCATCAGATCTACGCGTATTTCCAAAAGTGGTAATCTAACTTTATTCTTTACACAAACAACACATATATAAAATAGAGTGGGAATACATAAGAAAAAAAAAACGAGGGGCATAACTTTATATGAAATGGGATGCTACTACAATGAGATAAGATAAAAAGCATACAAGCAGAGAGAGAGAAAAAGAAAAGATGATGAAAGGGGGTATAAGTTTCATGATGGTAATAATACATAGATCATAAGCTTTAGATTGCCTTGACCTTCTTGAGCTTTGACCCCTTTTTTCTACCACGACCAGGCAACTTATGATCTGTGGGATCATTCTTAAAGGCTTGAGAGCATTTCGTATCTACCTTCCAATGACGCTTCAAGGCATCACTTCTGGCAAACTTGCGAGAACAGTATCGACAGGAATAAGGCTTTAGGCCCGTATGTTGAAGTTCATGACGCTTTAGATCATGAGGACGAGCAAACTTCCAGACGCAAGGTTTATATTTACATTCATATGGACGATCAAGGGAGTGAATTCGCATATGGGACTTTAAATTGTAAGGTCTAGCAAATGTCTTTTGGCAATCGGGATATGTGCAAGGGAAATTATCCTGCACTTCCTTTGTGACGCATTCATCCTTGGCATGGATGGAAAAGGTGGATTGGTTATCATGCGGTTTTTTGCCCTTGGACTTGAGCCTTATCGGTGTCTGCAAATCCATTGACTCACAGGGGGATTGACATGGCGAAGGGTCCCTGATGCTTTGAGATGTGTCGTTGTAAATATCATCAAAATATTTGTCATTTGCGTCACCTGTGTCATGGAGTCTCGCTGGTTGACTCGTAACAGAGTACAAGTGGTGCATGATGGGTGTTGTCATGCATGAGTGACTGAGTGGTACATGGTTACTGCTAGCCTGTGTATAGTGTAATGACTGTGCGTTGAACTGTTCAGACGTACGCTCATAACAAAAGGGTGTAGGAGGAGTATAAAGTAAAGGATCGAGATGCTGAGTAAAGTAATCCATCTTTCTATCTGTTGGTACATAGGATGGGTTATCACCATAGAACACTTCTAGTAATTCCGTAGGACAATCACTACTAGAGCAAGAATAAGGTGACGACTGTTCTTGACAATAGATGGGAGGGCTGCTGTATGATCGCGAAAAATAAGATTCGTTTTGGGGATTGATTATTGGTGACGAAGTCAAGTGAGTCGTGTTCACGTAACTACAGGGACTCGATAGTTTATGCTCGCATACAGGGTTCTGATAAAAGTAGCTATGCATCATTGAAAAAGACTGAAAAGAAAAGAAAGAAAAAGAGAGAGACAGTATTAAACTCATATGGCATCTTTATATGCGCCTCACTCCAAAAAGAAGTGACCCGAAAATAGAAATGTCCTTTTCTATAAGATCTCCTTTTGGTATCATAGACGCGGCTTCTCAATAGAAAGATCTTAGTGACAAGCCTCTGTGAGAGGTAGAGATGATGCATAAGTTTCACAAATATCTAAATTAAGCTCTTTCCGTAGCCTCCTACCTACAAGATGCACGTTTTGGACAATACCAGAATAAGGAAGGATACACAGATAAAACAATAACACATAATATTAAAGCACCCAATGCATATTCATAGCACATATGACGACACGTTGAAATTTTGTATTCTTTGATGTGAAAAAATAAAGAGACATAAAAGAGAACAGAAAGAAAGAAAACATAAATAGAAAATGATATCCATCAGGACATTGTTTCAGTGTTCTCAAATATTTCTTTTTATAGAAAGTACTCCGTCTTCTCCTTGGAAGATCATTCTTTACTTCTCTTTTGTAACCCTATCCTTTCTCCTGGATCCTATTTTGTCAGCTCATCTTTTGAAGACAATGGGATGAACCATAAGTAAGATATCAGTAGACCCTTGTAGATTCTTATTAGATTACTTGTTTATTTGTAAGTCAAAACATAGGATAACAATTATTTATCAAAACAGGGAAAACCTTAATCGTTTCAAAGTAAATCAATATGAAAAACTGAACCCTAAAAAATAAAGCTATTAAAAATACCACCATTGCGCCAAGTCTTGTATTTTAAAAGGGGAAGAAGGGGGGGAGGTCTGATAAGCTTTATTTAAGATTTATATCTGTACCTGATGTAGTTCATCATCGCTATCTTTTTTTGGTGAACCCATTTTGACCCATTATGCTTCTTTCTCCTTGATTTTTTATATATGTTTATATACTTTAAATGCACGCAATTTAGTACCATATCAAGTACGCCTTGATTCTATACCAAACAAAGGAGTAATGGCAGTTACTCGGTACCTTTCATTGTTACACACACTGTACATCTTTAAAAGTCAAGAAAAACTCTAATTCTATTGGTAATGCAGTTCGTGTCACATTCATGCTAAGCTTCTTGCGTATTTATTTATATCAACAAGTTAACTTTCTAATACAAGCTCGCCGTCAAAGATGACAATATCTTCATGGACTTGATCTCCCATGATCTCTCGGAACCCAAAGGAGGCAGGTTCAGCAATCACCGTAATGATAACCGTGACGAGAGTGATCAAAAGAAAGATGAACAAGGCGTTTCTGGAATACTTTTTCCATTTTTTATCAATGTCTTTACTTGCCTCCGTCTGTTGCTGCGATGCCTTGGGTGAATAAGTGGCGCCGAGTATCCACAAAGGTGGGAAGAGAAACCCCAAGGCAAAGTATAGAAAGGAATATCTATTCTTTTGCTTGCATTCTTGTAATTCCTCTTCATAAGCAAATGTTTTTTCCTGATAACCACCAAATAAACCAGAAACCCTTGACAGGAACTTGAGATCTTTTTCTTTGGATTCCTTGTCCTCTTTCATACCTTCGTCAGCCATGTTCTCTCTACTGTCATTTTTCACATCGACCCATGCCTCCTTCTTGATCCTCTCGGCCTTGTCTCGGATTGAACGCTGTATACGTGCTGCTCTTGACCCTTGGAACGGATTTTCGCGTGTTCCGTTTAGATCTTCGTTAAACACAGCTTGTTGAATTGTATCAAGCAAGTTCAGCCTTTTTTCCCAGCTAGCGTCTTCCTCTGCACGTCTAGTATGCAGCGAGATAGACGAACTGGGCAGAAAACCGATCTGTCTTACAGAACCAGCTGTACTCTCACCATCACTACGAGTATCCTCGTCATGATCATCCATATCTGTCAACAACAGCTTCAGTTGTTCCAAATCAGGCAAAAGAGGATCTGGTACAATGGAAAACAAGCACGATTCGTCCATTGGCGATACACTCTCACCATCGTCACTGTTATGTTTTGTCTTTTTCATCTGTTTGGGAGCCATGCCCATGATATCTGCTTGATTCAATGGCCATTTGCCCTTGTAATAGTAATCCGTCGTACTAGGCTTCATGACACTATTCATAAAGGGTCCAAACGCATACTGTGGATCAAAAAGCGATTCCCATTGCTCGCTCTCTTCCTTGATCGTAGTCGCTCGAGTCCCATTATTGCTGTAAGGGAACACAATGGTTGGATCAAGTACTATCTTTTCTTCTTTTACATCCGTAAATAGGTTCTCCTCTACTTCCTCTTCTTCTTCTTCATCCATCTCTTTGAGCTCGGGAACATTCCTTCTGATCTCTGATCGTTCCTGTCTTTTCCGCTTTATTGAAAACGCTATCGGTCCTTTAACACGAGGTCGTTTCCATTTCTCCGATAGTTTACTGTTCATATCGAACTTTACAATATAAAAAGGAAAAAAGGAAAAAAGAGAGAGAGAGAGCGCATAATTGTCTTTTCTAAATCGCAAATTAATTCAAGATTGAAGGTTGCACACCCCGTCAGTTTGTGAATAAACGGAAAATTATGAAAGGAAATGTTTCCTGGAAGCATAAATTTCTAATTTAGGTGGAGAATTAAAAACAAGCGTCTTTTCATTGTTCATCTGTATATATAACAGCGTCCTATATCTTCTTTTTGTTCTTCAATTCAAAAATGTATCCATTCAAGGAGAAATCGCATGCTTATAAAGATGCTCTTGGTTTAAAACACGATAAGAAATTAGCTATAGCAAAAGAGCATAATGTTAAACAAAGTAGTTAAAAAGAGATGAACTGGTATGAAATAATAACACTTGTCTTATAGCGAATATAAATATCGTGTTTGATTCAGTGGAGGATGTAGCTGACTTTAATGAAGCTGTATTCAAGTCAAAAGGACAAGAAAAGGTCTATAAAGTAGAGCCCAACTTTTTGAATCCTCGAAAGATGGGGGATTTGTTTACAGACTACAGTGAAAATTGTGTGTTGATGTAATTTCCTAAATTTGTTCTAGTTACAATAAGTTATATCATTTATATTGCCCTCTCCCTTCTTCCCTCTTTCTTTCTCTTTTTTTAATAATAAAATATATATACATATGGCCACAGATATATACCAGCCTTACTATTACTATTACCCAGAACACGACCAAGACTATTACCCTGATGGATACACTCATGCAAGACGAACTTATTATGACGCGTCTACTTCAAAGGATTATCCTTATTATTATTATAAACAGGGTAGTAGTACAAGTAGTCCGAAAGTAAGTGCTATGTTTTTGTTTATGTTTTTTACATAAAAAGAAATACTCATTTCATTGTAATTAACAGGCATATCCTTACAATCATTACACAGATACATATTCATATCATAATGAATATGATGATGATGATATATATTATGATGCTGATGATTCAAATGTCTATGGTCATATGCCTTATCCAAAAGAGACAGATTATTATGAGAGTGATAAAGAAGAAGAAGATCAAGAAGAGGATGAAGAGGATTACGATGAAACAACACGAAGAAATACGATGCTTAATGCTGACCTAAATACTTTTACAACTCGAGCAGACTCACTAATGTCTGAATCACTGCAACCATCACTACACTTATCATCATCACAACCAGTGCATTCCGTCATGCCTCATGTTACTACTGTTAATACGAATAAAAGGAAAAAATGGATGAATCCTTTTAAGCTATTGAAAAACAAGGTCAAAAAATTTCAAACCGAAAATGCATCCTCTTCTCCACAACCAACTATACAATTCATTCCTACAACAGAGGATGATATATTAGGTGATGTATTGGATTCTCATCAGCAAAAGCATCTACTCAATCAGCTATATCAAATACAACAACAACAGACCAGTCCACAGCAGCATACTGCCAGTCCAGAAAGAGTCAAGATTACAAGTCTGGATCGTATTTGGGTGTTTCGATTGATTACCTTTGATGAAGAACAACAGACTAATGATCATATCGCTTGGATATGCTTTGATTACGAAAATCAATTGCTCATTGAAGACTACATAGGTCATCCCGAAGAAGAGGGTTTAACTCTTTATGATTCACATATACGTCACAAAGGAATGCCTGTGGTTGTTATGCCTACTAATAACAAGGGATATTATTTTGCAGATGCTCAACAAGCACAACTGTGTACACTCGAAGTCAAGTCTATAAGAAATGACAGGAACAATATTACTTTTGTATACCGCTTATAAAAAATAAACTCTATCTGCATATTTATATTTTTTTTTTTTCTTAATGGCACAACCTGATTTATTATGCTTCAACATTCAGAATGCTTTTGAAGGGAGCAAAGTAATTAATAGTAAAAAAATAGCAAAAACGGAGGTTATAAAGAAACAACATTATAGTTTCAGGAAGCACTAGAAAAGTTACCAAAGGAGGAACAAAGTTCTGTGTTGAGATTCAAGTTTGCTAGAGATCAGCATTTGACCTTGGGTGGTTTATTATTACGTAGATACTATTTCTCTAAACACTTTAATGTTCCTTGGTCACAGTTGGAATTTGCTAGACGCCCTGGTGGGAAGCCATACTTGGTAAATATAGTATATATATATATATATATATATATAAAGAGTGTATTTACATGATTATAGAAACACTACGATAACATTGACTTTAATATATCTCATGAAGGCTATTGGGTTATCTTTGGTTGCATTAAGGATATGAACATTGGTGTGGATGTTGTTGTTGTAGATAATTCAAATAATTCATTAGATGAATTCATTCATGCCTTTGAGTCACAGGTAATAGTGTTTTATCTGAAGGAATAAAGGTGATATTGATCTGTTTTATATTATAGTTGACTATAGATGAAATGAGCTTAATCGCTAATAGTAAATATGATAAACTCTCGACCTTTTATGAAATTTGGGGATGTAAAGAAAGCTATATTAAAGCAATTGGCGTTGGCCTTGCTTTGGAATTAGATCAGTTGAATTTTAGGAACGAGAATGATATGGTAACGATATCATGTAATTACATAGCATAGTTTTCTTATCTTTTTTAAAAGATCAAATTGTATCTCAAAGGCAAAAGGCTTGACTTTTGGTCCTTTTATATGACTTATATTGATCCTTGTGCTATAGCAGTTGTATGCTGTGGAGGTAATGATTCATCCATCGTCAACTTTCACAATACAAATACAAAGCTTATTGGTGAACCAATACCTTCAGACCAAGCCAACCTATTTCATCACTGTCAACTAGACACTCTATTGCCCTAATAATAATAAAATGGAATCAACGCGTATGTTCGCGCATTAAACGCGCTGTTGTCGGATGATGAAACATTACATTTTTTTTTTTTTTTCTCTTTCTCTATACTTGTCCCTCTCTTTAGATCTCTCTTTTTTTTTTAAAGGACAGTTATGGACCACCATGACAAACGATCCATCATGAGTTTTGGTGTTGAAAGTAGCCAAAAGAGACAAAGCATTGACACACTATTAGAAACATCCAATAAAATACGACGGTTGTCATCAAATACAGCCTATAGGATGAGCTTCTTTTTGGACAATTTACCAACACCTGATCAATATCTGAATGAGCATACTTCAGCTCTACATGACTTTGAGGATTATAGATCCATAGTATCAAGGTAAATTGATAAACAATATCATTTATTACATATTTTAATATCAAACTAGTCAAACCAGTCTTTTAAGCGAAGGAGGACCTTCACCATTCATCACTCGATTCAACCAGACATCAACAGACGCACCTCATGAAAGAAAACCTCTCTATGACTTGAAACCATTCAAAGACCTCGATCAACAAAAGGTCTATATTTCAAAGATATCCAGCTATTTATTCCAAACTGAATACGCCAAGGATTTACCATCCATACGACGTAGTCTTCGTGCATTCACTACCAACGAGTTTCATAATATGGTCAAGCATCTCCTGAGGCGGTTTGATCCTCATTTGGAAGTAGGAAGAAACTTTCATGAGGAACTGCCTAGGGTACTCAAGAGCATACATTGTCCCTTGGCTGATATGATCACTCCCAAAGGGCTTTTATCGATCGGTGCGCCTCATTTGTACCCTATATCACTTGCATTACTTCATTGGCTGACAGAGTCATGTGAGCTGATACATGAACATGTGGGTGATAATGAGGATGATGGGTCTGTAGAAAATAATATGTTTGACGAGAATTACTTCAACTGGATCTTTTTCATTTATGCGTGTCGTGCCTATGCAGAAGAAATGAGTGGAGGTAGAGATTTGATCGAGTCAAATAAGGAACTAGAAGATGCATTGAGTAAAGCCTCTCAAAAAAAAAGCGAAAATCACTATACTAAAGCTCAATTGATAGACGCGACGGATGCTATGGTGGATGAAATGGAGGAAAAGTCCAAACGAAACTCAAAGAAACTATTAGAAGAATTGAATCAGTATAACAAAGATCATGTAAATTATTGCATATACATACAACAATAACAAAAAAACTCATGATATCTTCAGCCATCTCTAGCGCACTTGAAAAAGACCAATACAGACCTTAAATCCGATATTGAAAAGTTTAATGCCTATTGTGAAATGAAGCAAAAAAAGATTGAAAAGAGTCAAGCACTTGGACTTCGCAGTGAAAAACAGATACAAGGATTTGAACGAGAATTAAAAAAGATAGAAACAGAGATCGAACAGATCAAGGAAGCCTTGACGAGTAAAGGCTTGACGATTGAAAAGATCAATGCGATTGTAGAAGAGAATAAAACAATATCGACAGAATACACAAAGATACAGAAAAGACTACAGGACCTTCAAAAGCAATATGAAGCTAAAAAGGAAAAGAATGATGAGCTGTTGAATGAAATTGAAACGTTGATCAGTGAGCATAATACGTTGATATCTAAACTGGCTGCTATACCTGACATCGACATCCAAGAAGATCAATTAAAGATCACGTTTGATCCTACAGCAGATGATCCAAATAAGGACTTTCCTGTGGATTATGAATCAAGGACTATAGTAAGGAGAGGGAAAAAAAGATATACAAAAGACAATCATCTCATGAAAAAAACTAGCCCAAACTTAATGACATCTTTGACCTATTATCCAAAAGATTGCTTGATATAACCAAAAAGAACTCCAACTTACGAGAAGAGTTGGAAGCGATTGACAAGAAGATATTGGATATACAAAATAGCCGTCATCTGGATCAACAGATAGTAGAAAGGAGAAGACATGAACTTGAAGAAAGAGAATTTGTAAGTCATTTAGAAAGAAAGAGAGAAAGTATATACACTGACATTGATTTCAGATGTGGCGTAAAGAACATGACGAGACGACAATGGCATTAGAAAAAGAGGAAAAGGCAATGCAAGAGAAAGAGAGGCAGATAAGCCTTGAGTTAGAAAACGCACGGATGAAGCTGTATGACACCAAGCTGAAAGCGAGCGAAGCAAGAATACAAGCAGAGAGAAGGAGGCATGAACTAAATGAAACATACGCGTCCTTTGTTCGTCAACTGAAGCATGCTCTGGAAGAGATCGATCAGAGAGCAGAAGGTTATTTGGTGGCAGTAAAGAAGGAAGAATCAGTTGCAAAAGAAGTGATGCTTGATATATAAAAAACCAGACATGTGATTTTTATTATCAAAATGACATAATTGGAAAAATAAGGATTACCCCACATCTTTTGTCTTTTTTTTTTTTCTTTTCTTTTCTTTTCTTTTCTTTTCTTACATTGCCCACTTTATGTCTAGTCAATCAACAAAGGATAAGAGTAGTCATAGTGATTCACTGCCAACTCCACCTAAAGAACGTCAGACATTCCTTCCAAAGCAGCCATTACCTCCTTCAGTTGATATTAATAATGTCCAACCTTTAGCAATTCAAGATAATCCGTCGACATGGGCATTTATTAAGGGACATACAAAGTATTGCATCAAGAGTAGTATACAATTTATATTCAAGGACAACAATTTACCATTACTTGTTAATATGATCTACCACTTGATTGCAGCAAGAGCACTCATGGCACGACCATGGAAGACGACACACAGATATATTTATATTGCTTCACCCCTTGGATCATCGTCTAAATCACTTCGATATCAGATTGAGCAAACAACGGCTATTGCTGTCGATACCTTTCGTGCACTGGGTGTGATGCATTTAGCACTCGGTGTTTTATCGGCACTGGCATTAAAAGAGCGAAGACAATCCTCAGAGAGGTCTGCTCTGGTTGTGCTGACGTTGGCATCCCTTGGAAATGCATGGGCACATATGAATGCATACTGGCAAAAGACAGGGTCACAGTATACGTTAAAGGCCATTCAAGAAATAGGATCATCTAATTTATTTGTATTGGTGATGAGCTCAATTGCATTATCCAAGACGATCAAACGAACTGGAAGGTTTATCTAAGCTACAAGGCCTTGATGTAGGTGATAATACACGATAGTCGAATCTGATGAACAGATAGCCAGTGTTATTTTGCTATATATTTATATAAATGTAATGTTCTGTTTATGAAATAAAGCTATCCGTATGTAGTTTGCCTTACTTGATATCTATTGTCATTTCACTCTTTATACCATCAAATATGGTAGCTATTTTCTTTAATGATAGTGATTCGGTCTCAGAAAAAGGTAGGATGTAGAGTAATTCCTAAAGATATAAATAAAGTGACGCATTGAGCTCAATCATACTTACTTCTGTGCCTGGTTCTTTAGCCATAAAGATACATGTTTGTAATTGGTTTATAAACTGATAATTAACGTGTTTCCATTTCTTTGTCAAAACAAGATCAGAATAGACTTGTTGGGATAGATAAGTATCCATAGGTGACATTGACTTTGATTGAATATCCTTGACCTGCTCAACCTTAATACCTTATATTTATAAAGACTATATAGTTCCTATTCTACCTTAGATTCAAATGACATGCTTTATTATTGTAGTAATGATTATTATTATGAAAAAAAAAAAAGGGAAAAAAAATTAATAGTAAAATAAACGGTACTTTAAAATAACGGTGGTATAGAATGTGTAATTTACAGTTATTATAAATGCGCAATTGTGTGTGTGTAGGATGATGAGTTATGCAGCAGGAGCACTGTGACCAATGATAAATCCACAGTAAATCAAATCTTCTTCATTAATGTTGGCCAATGAAGATGACATTGATACTCCATCAGGTGATAATAAAAAGCATTCTCTGACGATCAGCACTCGAAGCCTCTCATGTGAGCTACGACAACCAGCTATATGACAAGACGTGTGAGCAACAGAGCAAATAAGTATGATTATTGTTCACTTACCCAAAGCAGCACGTTCAAACCAATAAATGGCCTGTCGTAAGTCTATTTCACAGCCAATGCCTCTTTCATAGCAATTACCCAAGTGATACTGTGCAGAGATGTGATCTTGTTCTGCTGCTGCCTTGAATAATTTGAATGCCTCTTCCAGGTTACGTTCAACTCCTAATCCATGCTGAAAATGCATGCCTAGTTTGTCTAATGCACGTGCATGATTCTGTTCAGCTGCTCTGCGATACCATTCGACTGCCTTTGTATTGTCTTTTTGTACTCCTATTCCATTGGCGTAACAGAATCCTAAATTACACTGTGCCCACGGGTTATTTTGCTGGGCTGATTTATGATACCAATAAGCTGCTCGTACAGGGTCTTTCTTCAGCCCGATGCCTTCTTCGAAGCAAAAGCCAAGTGAGTTTTGTGCAAGCGCATTACCATGTTCAGCACTCTTTTTGAACCATTTCACTGCCTCTGCTTCATCCTTGTCAACACCGATACCGTTTCGATAACAGTATCCCAGAGACAGCTGAGCAGGTGGGTGATTTTCTTCTGCACTTAAATAATACCAAAAGAACGACTTTTGCTCATTCACGTCAACACCAACACCATTTTGATAGCAATAACCAAGAGAATGATAAGCAAAGATATTGCCTCTTTCTGCAGAGCGTCGATACCATTTGACAGCTTCTTTTTCATTACGTTCTGTACCAATACCATTCTGATAACAGAATCCAAGGTTATGTTGGGCTCTGGCATGACCTTGTAAGGCAGCCTTTCTATACCAGTAAGCACCCAAGACATCATTCTTTTCGACACCGATGCCATTTTGATAGCAGTATCCCAAGTTACATTCAGCCCAGGGATAGCCTTGTTCTGCAGATAGCCTATACCATTTGGCAGCTTCTTCATAATCGACGTTAACGCCGATACCATCTTCATAACAATAGCCAAGAGAGTTCTGACCAAAGGCATTTCCTTGTTCAGCCGACAGTCTGTACCATTTGACTGCCTCGTGCACATCTTTTTCAACACCAATGCCTTCCTCATAGCAGTATCCAATATTATAAATGGCCACTGTTTCACCTTGACTTGCAGACAGTCTATACCATTTCATTGCTTCAACTTCATTCTTCTTGACGCCGAAGCCTTCGCCGTAGCAGTATCCGAGGATACCTTGACCACGTGCATGACCTTGCTCGGCACTTGCCTTATACCAATGAAAGGCAGCATGCTCATCTTTCTGAAGGGCAATGCCGTCATGATAGCAAACACCGAGTGCATACTGTGCAGCAGGGTGATGATACAACGTGGCTGCTTCCACAATCCATTGGACGGCACTCGGCTGATGCCTAACACGTTCTGTCCACTCTTCGGCTTCTGCTCGATCAATCTTTACATTAGGACGTCCATATTTTCTAAGAAAGGCTAATCGTGCCATACTCAAACCGTCCTGGTACCGTTTAGCGGCTAACTGATAATGATATTCGGATTGAACAAAGTCTGTTTTGACACCTATTCCAAACTCATAACAGAATCCAATGATTCCTTCTGATCGTGTGTGTCCAAGAGAAGCTGCTTTGGCATAACAAACAAAAGCCAAGTGTTCTGATTTCGTATGTTTGTCTATGCCAAATAGATATCGATTGCCTTTTTTATAAAAGTAATCTGCTGTCGTTGTTGTCGTTTTCTTTTTTTTATTTTGTAACTTGATCAAGACTGTCTTTGACCTTGACAGCAAGTGAGAAAGTGGAAGTAAATGAGGCATTCTTTTAATTAAAAGAAAAGCAAAGAAAAAAGAAAAAAGAAAAAAACCCACGCAACCAGAGAAACATCTTTTGGAACCACAAAAAGAAACAATAAGCGGGGGATGAAAAGCCTGAACAGGTACAAATTGAAATTTATAATGAAAAAAAAAAAAAATGGTCTTATGTGATTTAGAAAGAGCTTTTAGGTTTACCTTTTCTCCCTTCCCTTTTATCTTTATTACTCTGTATAAGATAAGAATAAAGATGTTACTGTACCTGGTTGAGATGGAGATAAATTGAAAAGGAGAGGAAGAGGAGAGTGAGGGGAAGAAAGGGGGGGGAACATTCAAGCAGACGAAATTAAAATAGTTACACACGTATATGGACTATAAATAACCTTATTTATTAGATGGAACTAAACAAGATAGCATCATTCTCTTCTTCCTTGACACTCAAAGCATCCAGTATTCTTTCTAAAGTCTTGTTGCCTCCCAAAGAAGCGATTTCATTTCTGGCCTCTTTTTCCAAGACAGATAAGAAACGTCGACAGTAAGCAAAGGTGTTTGTCTTTTCTAGCAATTGAAGGGCAAACTGCTTTAGTTCAACCGAATTACTACGTTGCTTGAGAATATTGAGCAATTGACGGTTGGAAGGGTCGGTACGAATAGAATGGATGATGGGGAAAGAGAACTTTCCTTCAGTCAAGTCTTCACAGAAACCCTTATTATCAGCATACTGGAGCATGAAAAGGATGATTAGTTTCAAGCAATGCTATTGCTGCTATTATTTGCTTACCTGCTTTGATTGCAAGTTCATGTAATCATCTCGTACTTGGAAATGAATACCAATCTTGCTTACTAGACCAGTGTAGTCACTAATAAAGATAAATATGACTAACTTTTTTTGTTTATTTATTTACACCACTTACACTGTCGATTGACTGGCTTCTTGCATCAATTTGACGGCCAATCTCAAGAGACCACCCGTTTCTGAAAAAGGGGGGTTACCATCTTTTTTGTTTTTTCTTGTTTTTACTTGGTACTTACTGTCATTTACCATATTAAGAAATTCCTTCTCTGTGGGACAAGTCAAAGTGTCTCTCCAGAATAATTCCATGCCTTGACAAGTTTGTTACAAAGTGAATTTATATACGCAGCCTTTGATTACCTTGACCACGATGTAAATTGATCAATTCCTCAGTATAAATATCAATCATCTTGGGCTTGTTTAATTTAGTGAGCTCAGATAATGCAACAAAGTAAACATAGTTTGCACAATTGATTGTCTGAGGAACACCATAAATGTGATGCGCAGCAGGCACTCCTCGACGAAGCACAGAGTCATCTTCGACATCATCGATCCTATGCACAACATGTTATTCGTGACCTAAGCTCCTGTACTTGAACTTACAATAAACTGGCACTGTGAAGCATTTCGATGACTTTTGTAATGACTTTTAAATCTTCTTTGGGCACTTGTAACCACGCATCAAATGCTTCAATCATCTTGGAGCGTATGTCTTTACCGGGGTTAGCGCATAAATAACGAAATGGTTCAAGAAGGATCTATTCATGCAAGTTTAGAACAAAGAAGTTAACCAGTCTCTCTTTTATTACATCTTCTTGAGGCTTTTCAATAGATTCAAGACCAGTTTGTTGTCTTTCAAGCGAAAGAACAGTGTTTTTTAAGCCGTTCGTAGTTGTCGTGAATGTGAGCATAAGTTACGATGTATAAAAATAAAAAGAAATAAGGATAAAAAGAATAAAGGGGGTTTGCTTTTATATTTGATGAGAAGGAACCATCTTGAACGTAAGACAAGCCAAGTGAACAAAAGCGAGTCTTTTGAATTTGCCTTTTTTGTTACACCCCCTATTTTTCTCTTTATTTTACTCCTTGGATAAACAGGAGTGAAAGAAAATATTCTAAACTATCTCTCTTTATTTATTTTCTGCGAATGTCACTAGACTCTTATTTTCTCCAACCAAGTCTCCTACATTATACAACACTTGATCGATCGTACCGGACACAGGTGCCTTAATGACGTGCTCCATCTTCATGGCTTCCAAGACCATCAGAGCAGCACCCTTTTCGATCACTTGTCCTGGCTTAACTAATACTTGCGAAATCTTGCATGGCATAGGAGTCTTTACGGATCCTGCAGCGGCAGCTCCATGAACGATAGCTGATAAATAATTAGGTGTAGGAATTTGGAAGGTCGTGCGACCAGACTAATAAGCTGGATTTAGAGTTAAGGTTTTGATGCAAAGAAAAACAACAACTGACCTCGTCAAAGACAACAACATTTTCATTGTGTAATACTACATTACTCTTGACCTGTTTGTTATCAATGCATGTGACAAGTAAGCCTTCTTGATCAAAGTGGCTATCGACAGCAGTAAACTTCTTGATGGACTCGTTGCCCTTCTTTACTTCAAGATCAACCAGTTCTGGTTTCTGGGCATTGGCAGAGACAACAATGTCATAGGATTCATCATTGAATGTGAATGAGAACGTCTTGCTGTTGATATTGTTTAATCGAAAAGCACTAGGAAGTGTATTCCAGGGACTGTAGGGATCTAAAATGACAAAGTTTAATAAGGAGGTGTCAATATTATTATTATTAAACTTACCAGAAGTGGACTTCTTGACGGTCTCGATTTCCTTGAGTCGAAGTGCATTGGCTGCCAATGCAAGCGTTGTTGGATCGGGTGCTTGCATATCCTTAAAGAGATCTTTTTCGTATTGCTGCAAGAAAAAACGATCATGAGAATATGATCATATTATTTGCATCTTTCTTTACCTGTATAAAGCCAGTTTCTACTTCACCCTTGATAAACTCTGGATGTTCACACACAGTCTTGATAAAGGAAATGTTTGTGTTCAATCCCACAATCTGGTACTGTTCCAAGGCACGACGGAATCGACGGAGTGCGTCATTTCGATTTTCACCATGAACGACAAGCTTGGAGATCATGGGATCATAATGAACACTGATTTGATCGCCTTGGATAAATCCAGTCTCAAGTCGAAGATTTGCACTTGGTTCAGGAGTGCGTACGCTAAAGAGTGGTCCTGTATCAGGGAGGAAATGACTAAAAAAAAGGGATAAAAAAAAAGAGAGGAAGAAAACATTAAAAATCATAATCCCTTTTTTTTCCTTTTTTTTGTGTGGGCTTACTTTCTAGGATTTTCAGCATATACACGGGCCTCAAAGGCGTGTCCGGTAAGACGAAGTTGGTCTTGCGTCATTGGCAATGGATTACCAGCGGCAACTTCCAATTGCCAACGTACCAAATCAGTCTGTGTGACCATTTCAGTAACTGGATGCTCTACTTGGAGACGAGTATTCATTTCCATAAAGTAAAACTGCTTATCGACATTGTCCATAATAAACTCTACAGTGCCTGCATTTTCATAGTTCACAGCGCGTGCAGCAGCGACAGCCTTGGCGCCTAATTGAGCACGGAGCTCCTCGGAGAGACCAGGTGCAGGTGCTTCTTCAATCACCTTTTGATGACGTCTTTGTACAGAACAATCACGCTCAAATAGATGAACCACATTTCCGAGCTTATCAGCAAACACTTGGACTTCCACGTGACGGGGTCTTTCCAAGTACTTTTCGACCAGTACCTTGTCGTCACCAAAAGACTTTATGGATTCACGCTTGGAGGATTCGAGCATTTCCTCAAATTCTGCAGGCGAACGAACGATACGCATACCTTTACCACCGCCACCTTTAACGGCCTTGATGAGTACAGGATAACCAATCTTGTCGGCTTGTTCCTTCAGGAACTTGATATCTTGGTTCTCACCGTGATAACCAGGGACGACGGGTACACCTGCCTTCTCCATAATAAATTTGGATTCACTTCAAATCCCCATTAGTTATTTTTGCTATTTCTTGGGGAATTTTTTTTTTTTTTTTACCTCTTTGAACCCATGGAACGCATAGCATCACCGGAAGGACCGATGAATTCAATACCTGAATCTGTAACAAGATCGGCGAATTCGGCGTTTTCAGACAAAAAGCCATAACCAGGGTGAATAGCTTGAGCACCTGTCATCTTGGCGACTTGTAAAATCTTATCCATTCGAAGATAACTTTCGGCGGACGCGGCAGGACCAATCAAAAATGCTTCGTCAGCCTAAGAAAGAAAGAAACAGTTCATTTTCTGTATAGACACATAACACGTTCTCTCTAATTTACCATTTTTACGTGTTGAGCATACGTATCTGGCTCACTGTAGACAGCTACAGTTTTGATACCGAGGTCTTTGGCAGTTCGCATCACACGAAGAGCAATTTCACCTCTTTAGAACCCATTAATGACTCGCTTTCTTTTATGATTTATTCGCTTACCTGTTGGCAATCAAGATCTTTTCAAAAAGAGGCTTTCGATCTTTTTATAATGTTATTTTTTTTTATTCTATTTTATTCTCTAAGTTTACCTTTCAACGTGGAGTAAAGACATCCTCTAGCGGAGTTAGGATACCGACGCAACAAGGAAACCTTTGTCAGGGACAAGAGCATGAGCACAAAAGATAAAGATGAAAAAGAGAAAAAAAGAAAGAAAAAAAGATGAAAAAGAAGTGATAAAGTTGATCTTGGGAATACTTTATTGTGTAAACTAAAGTCGTGGGAAAATTGGTGGGAGAAATGAAGTGTTCGTGTCTCAGCGTGTGGAGCTCTTTGACTGTGACTTCTTGACAGTTTTCATTTAGTCTCAGCTTCAATTCACAGAGGGCAGTTTATGCATTCTGTAACTGATGTTTACTTTGACCTTGATTGATTCTCGTGATTCAAGTATTTTATACAATTGTTTACGTTGTACTATTTCCCTTTCTTTCACTTTATCACTTTTTTTTGTTTGAACTCATTAACTCTTTTACCCATTTCTCTCTCGTTACTTATAAACAATCATGAGCACTGCCAAATTATTGGAGACTATTGCTAATTTACGTCTTGAAAAGGACCAGCTATTGAAAGAAAAAGAAGAAAGAGACCAAGAGATAGAGATGTTGGAAGATATGAACAAAAAGGTACATTCTATCCTTGATAAAAACATGGACCTCATGACGATCATAGCTTGTACACCTATTGGGGGTAAAATCCGAAGGAGGGGTTGATTTGGAAACGATACAAGCAGAACTCCATAAAAGGGATGAATATATTGAAGAATTGAAAGAAAATGTCACAAAGATGCAGCAAGAGAATACGTTGCTTTTAGAAAAGAATGAGCAGATACGATCAGACTATGAGGACCAAATATATCAGCTTACTGAACAAAACAAAGATAAAGACAAGAAAATGGCAGCACTGGAAGGGCGTCACAAGGACTTGAAGCGTACATTTCGTTTTGTCCGAGAGCAACTAAAGCTAAAAGAAAAGGAAGCGAAAGTAAGTAAAAGACAAGAGAAAAAACGCGTATAGTGTAATGTTTGTTCTTTTTAATAAGGACTGGAACGAACACAAGGCTCTCGGGTGCTTGGCAGACCTAAATAGTGTTCAAGATATGATAAACAAATTGGATGATTTGCTGATACAAAAGCGTGAATATACGGTAAAGCAACACAAGAAACAGTGTCATATATCTAACATGATAAATACAGGCAACTATTGACTCACAAAAACAGGCGTTTAAAGCAGTAGTAAAGCAGTTTACTGAAATGACCATAAGGTGTGAAGCAGAATTGAGGCTGGGAAGGCAAGGACGATACTGATATCTACAGCAAGTACTAACTTGGGCGCTTATGATACCCTTCTGTTTATACTTGATGATACAAATAAATAACCCGTTATTACTATCCCCATCTATACGTATTTTGATAAGGAAGTCCGGCTCCTTGGCCATTATCGGCTTCCTTACTCAAACATACAAAACAAGTGGCATGAGCACCTTCAAAAAAACACACATGTCAACATATCATCGAAGCTGATTTTTTTTTTACTCTGCTTTTAATCCTTGTTTTCTGAAACTATTTATAATGATGCCAATACTAAAAGTAAGAGTAATAAATGAATCCACGGCAGTAATAGCTTATTTCTTTCCAGACTTCTTAATACCGCCACTCACTGTAAATATAAAGTAAGTTTCTACTGAATTAGATTTACGCATTTCACTTACATAAAGGGCCCTTTCCTGCAGCCTTTTGTTGCAATTCCTTCAATCTCTTGGCTTCTTCTTGTTGCTTCTTCTTAAAAGCAAGGTCTTCCTATAGAATCATAAATGTTAAAGAACAAAGTCAATGAGATCAATCATTATCATACATCATCTAAATCTGAGTTTTGCTTCTTTGGCTTCTTAAGAGGCTTAAGTTTTCCACCTGAATAGAACGTAAGTATGCTGCTGTTTTTAACGAGAGCATCTTTCTTACCTTGTCTTCCGGACATGATTTGTGTAAAGATTTCAGCAAACGCACAATTGCAAGCAAAAAAAAAAAAATTCTTTGCTTGCATCATTCAAAGACCGCGCTGTGCGTCACAAGATGGAGGGGCCCGGAAGAACTGTGGGAGAGAAAGCGAGACAACCATAATCAATATTTAACAATAGAAATGAGCAATCAGATCGTCAAATCTCTAAGACCATAGTAATGTATCCATATAGTTGCTTTGCAACAAATTGAAAAGTGGCATCAGAAGTCGAAAAAGGAAACTCATATGATATTTACTTCAGTTTAATAGACTTGATTTTATTAAATAAACAAGCCACAATGCTATATTCTGGTGAAAATGATATCATTATTACTACTGGTTACAATTGTATTTTGTATTTATATCAAGATAGGATCGGCAAAGGGCTATAAGAGCGATAGCAATATAGACTATTTTTCTTTAAAATTACATCATTAAGTTACCCACAACTTGATTTTCAGTTAGCAAAAAACCAATCGAGCAGCTTTATTTGGAAAAATGTGAAAATTTCGAGTTAAGCGCTCTATGTCAAATTCCAGTTATCGGTCATTTAAACCTGATAACTGTGCCGAATGAGTTGCAAGAAATAGACTGACTGTCCAAGTACCCATTCTTTAAGTGTGTCCTTTACACACACACTTACAAGAGGGTCGGTAGAGTCAAATATATATAATTTATCACACCCGGATAGCGTTGGCCCGGGCGCAACCAATCATTCATACGTCAGAATCATGCTACACTATGTAATCATAAAGTCAAAAGTTGTTGCCTCTTTTCACAAACCTGCTTCTGACCCCCCCCAACATGTCAAAAGAGCCAAAAAAAGAGATTTCTTCTGGGTGTGTAACCGTTTTTGGCTTTCATATTTGCCTCGCTTTTGGGGGGAGGGAAGAATAAAAAAGAAAACACTTGCTTTAGTCTATTTTTTTTCATTTATTTTTCTTAATCATATACTTCTTCTTTCTCTTCTTTATTTTCATCTTTATGCCTCCCTACTCGTATCCAATCACGTTTGAAGAAATCGAAGCCAAAGAATGGGCATCCAATACTGTCCAAGGTATCCTCACAGACATATCGCCCGTCTCATTTGAATCGGGGTTTACTAGCTTAGAGGTAATTCATGAAGATAGCATACAAGGTCAAGAGAAAGAAAGCCACAAAAAGTCATTAAAACGAATGAGCACCCTTCGACGGTCATTCTCTTTTCTTGAGAGCAGCCTCTTTCGAAATAATAACAACAGCGAACAGCGTAAATCCAGTCGATCTCAAAGCACGATTCTAACCGACTATCAATTGCTTTCTACTCACTCGGCACCAACAACGCCCCGAAAGCTATCACCACAATCATCCATATCCAGCCGTATTCGTCATACATGGCATGTGGACCGTGCGACGGTGAAGCAGCTATTATCTCACACGCCAGATCTCTTTAGTACCCTAAGTGCCTACACACACAAAATCTCGAATAAAGAACGAAGGGGAATGGCTATCTGGAGGAGTACATACGCTGCATATATTGTTGAACCACCTCCTTCCTTAAGATTCAAGGTAACACATCTGGATGCTCATTCGCTCGATTGTTAATGTTTTTTATAAAAATAGCCCAAACCTGTCACTAAACGGTCAATTCAACTATCCAAATTTATTATGGCTGAGCTGTTGACAACAGAAGAAACTTATTTGAACCATCTGATGACCATAAAGAAGGTAAATAAAAGAAAATAGGGAAAAGCTCTCGTATTAAGCCCCATGTATATAGTTTTATATGGACCCTTTATTTGAAAACGCTACTCAAAAAAGATCATTAGTGAACTCAAAACATGTTGAGATCATATTTGCTCATATCCCTCAGCTTATCAATGTGTCTTCAGCGCTTACAGAGAGGCTACATAAAATGATCATCGTCACTTCTGCCGAAAAACTCATGACTGCAGATGCCACGCAGTACGATCCTGTGCCTATTGGAAAACTCTTTTGTGATTTCGAAAACTATTTTGATGTATACATTGCATATGCTGTAAACTATTCCAAGTCTAGAAAATATTTGAATAAAGCAAGCTCAAATATTGTCTATCGTCAATTAGTCAAGGTAAGTCTTTTTTGGTCAAAATGATCGTGGAAGGCTCAATAGTATATAGGATTCTTTAAGAAAGAAAGAAACTAATCGAATGGTTCTTGATGATTACATGATTGCGCCTATTCAGCGTATCACTCGCTACTGTTTACTGCTCCGAGATCTTCAAAAGCACTCGGATCCTTATAATCCCGATTTTACTTACTTGGATAAGGCCATCAAGTTTCTATCTGCTCTTGCACTCGCTATGAATCATGTACAGTAAATTCACTCATTGTAGATATAGTGTATATATTTCCCATTCCATTTCCTCTCAATATAATAAAAAAGTAATGGCGCTTATTTATGCATAAAATTAATGACATGCTTTTGCATTACTTTTTTGTTGGGCTAATCTTCATCGGCGGCTTATATCGTGATCAATCATATGCATGTGATAATAGTGTCCATAGTGAATCTTGTGTTTCCCAAAATGAAAGGGTTTGTCTCAAGGCATAAAACATCAGTCTTTTCATTTATTACTCCATTTAGTAAATTTCCCCGAGCACTTTATATATTTGCTTGAAATCATCAAGCTTTATTTATTATAGGCTCTTTTTTTCTTCTGATTTATTTTATTTGTAGGCGTACATATTTAAAAGCAAAACTGAAAAGTAGAAACAAGGTTGCATGCGTTCTACTAAAGAAAGAAGAAAAGAGAAAGAGAGGGAAAAAATTATTGTAACACAAGTCTTTTTTTTTTCCCTAGTGGTGCATCAACAAAACCGTCCCCCTTTTTTATTCTCAGGATGGCCATAGAGTATATAATACCTTTTCTCCTGAATGAGCCAGTGTCAAGTGATGTCAAAGGAAAACTATTTTATTGGTGTTGACGTAGGAACAGGGTACGTGAGTTACTATGGCAACATACACTTTAAATAACGTTTATTCTAGTTCTGCTCGTGCTGCAGTCATTGACACTCAAGGAAAACTTGTTTCCATTAACGTAGAACCAATTACGACATATAATCCAAAACACGACATTTTCGAACAATCAACCGATAATATCTGGTCAAGCATCATAAAATGTGTACGAAATACAATCAAGACAGCCAATCTATCACCCGAGAGCATAAAAGGTATTGGATTTGACGCCACTTGCTCTCTAGTTGCTCTTGATAAACACGGCAAACCATGTTCCGTTGATCCCGAATCAGGCTTTACAGAACAATCTAGAAACGTCATCCTATGGGCTGACCACCGTGCGATTGATCAAGCAAACCGTATCAATGCAACATGTCATTCCGTTCTACGTTATGTAGGCAATACCATCAGTCCTGAAATGGAAATACCAAAGACACTATGGCTCAAGGAAAACATGCCTGCAAGCAAATGGGACGCTATTGGCTATTTAATGGATTTGCCGGATTTTTTGACATACAAAGCAACAGGTGCAACAACGCGTTCGACGTGCTCACTTACCTGCAAGTGCTCGTATCTACCACGCTTGGTGGGTCAAGGATGGGAACCTACTTTTTTCAAGGATATCGGGTTAAGCTGTCTCATCGATGAGAAATTTGCTCGTTTAGGCGCTGTGAATTCTGATGACGTTGCCGAAGCTGGTGACCCTCTTGGAAATGGACTTTGTGCACAAGCCGCTCAGGATCTAGGACTACTGCCAGGCACGCCCGTAGGTTCGGCTGTAATTGATGCTTATGCTGGCGCACTGGCGACCCTGGGCGCTACTTCAAGCGATAATGAAAGGAGTGAATTACTCAGCCAGCTGGACCATAGTCTAAAGACACAGGGGCCTAGCCGTCTGGCAATTATCTGTGGTACATCAAGTTGTCACATCACCATGTCTCCAGAACCCATCTTTGTTCCTGGTGTCTGGGGTCCATATCGCTCTGTGATGGTGCCTGGCATGTGGCATGCAGAAGGTGGACAATCCTCAACCGGCCAATTGATTGATTTTATTTTGAATACACATCCTGCTATCCATGAAGCAAGAGAAAAGGCGGGAGAATCCAACGTGTACAATTTTTTGACAGATCATTTGAAAAAACTTCAAGCACAGCGTAATGTGAAGCATATTGAAGAATTAACCAGGCATTTGCATATCTACCCTGATTTCCACGGCAATCGATCTCCACTTGCGGATCCAACATTAAGAGGCACTATCGTCGGTGTTTCGTTGGATAGAAGTATAGACGATTTGGCACTTCGTTATCTGGCCACACTGCAAGCAATAGCATGCCAAACAAGACATATAATCGAAACATTAAACAAGGAAGGCTATCTGATTGACACTCTATGTATATCAGGCGGTCTCTGTAAGAGCGAGCTGTTTGTAAAGATCATTGCCAATACCACACAATGTCGTCTCATCATGCCCGAATCCATCGAAGGAGCAGTCGTGATCGGTGCTGCCTTTTTAGGAGCAAAGGCGTCTGGTCTCATCTCATCTGATTTATGGGAAATCATGGTTCGACTTGGTCGATCTGGATCTACTGTTATGCCTGATAAAGAAGCCAAGGAACTGAATGATAAACGATACAATGTGTTTTTAGCCATGCTTGAAGACCAAAAGAAGTATAGACAAATGATGACGTAGGTTTGCAATGTATATATTCTTTATGATCATTGCTGTAATCGTCTCCGGATTATCAATATGACTTATTATCTGATTTTTTAAGAGATGTTAAAATAAAAATCAGATAATTGGTTTCTTAACCCCGATTGAGAGCTCTTTCTTTTTCATTTCTTAAACATGACGATGAATGAGCAAACGCCTCTCTTGAATAAAACCAACCAAGTCACTTGTTGTTCAACAAATGGAAATGCTTGTTGTGCGTCAAGAAGAAAGAGTAGTGGTCGATTACAAAAGAACGGATTACCAATTGCTAATGACGAAGATTATTGCTATCTATCAGAACAAAAGTGGCAGTATAAGCTAATAGCCTTGCTTTGTGCCATATTCTTAGCTGGTAAAATGAAATACGCTTAAAGGCACAGTGAACTAATGGTAATAACAGTCGGAAGTCATTTTGCGGCACACACCCTTGGAGCTATGAAAAATACTATCAAAACAGCAAGTATCCCCATCGATTCGTCCGTCAAATATAATCTCATACATCATAACCGTTTATAGGAATTTGGGATCACCAATTCTCAATATGGAGTAGTACAATCTAGCGTAGCCCTGGTCAATACAATACTTCCTGTGATTGGAGGAATATTTGTTGATGCTTTTGGTACAATTCCTGGTGCATTTATCACAACACTCTTGATTACTTCCGGAAATGTACTAGTAGCCCTTTCTACTCACTCTAAAAACTTTTATCTCATGGTCTTGGGTCGCATATTATATGGTGTTGGCAGTGGAACGGTAGTCATTGTACAAGAAACTATTTTGAGTCAATGGTTTAGAGGAAGAAGTCTGGCTGCCGTAGTAGCACTTATGCTTACTGTTAGTCGCTTGGTAAAATAATTTTGCCCTTATTGTTTTTGTTGGATCATTGAACTTTATATAGGCTTCATTTTGTGCTCAAGCTACTGTCATACCAATTGCAAACTATACTGGTTGGTATGGTTATGGTTTATGGGTAATAGAAAATAGAATCTGCAAAGGCTCATATACTCACCCTATTGCACAGTTTTCTGCTTCATTGTGCATATTCTCAATGATAGTTACATTCGTCTACATATGCTTATTAAAGACTGTGTCCAACACAAACGTTCAATGTCGTAAACAGATGGAAGTGATCAAGCGAAAAAAATCATTTAGCTGGCATAAATTGATGTATTTGCCTCACTCCTTTTGGTTAATTGCTGTTATGGAATTCCTCTTGGGTGGTGGCTGGGGTTGCTTCTTACATATAAACAGGTAATGAAAAATCTAGTCTAGATATTTGTTTTTATTTGCTCATATGAATGAATAGCGAATATGTCAAAATGAAGTTTTCTTACGACAATGCTCGTGCTGCTGCAACTGCAAGTGTTGCTCAAGTATTACCTATCTTTTTAATGCCATTCTTAGGCGTATGCATCGATCGTCACGGAAAACGCACTTGGATGAGTATGTTAATAGATTACATAAATATGAAGATACTGATCTGATATATAGTGATTGGCAGCGGTTTATCTATGCTGATATCCTTACTCATACTCGAATTCACGCCTACTCCTCCTTTGCTAGGCATGCTTCTATTCAGTGTAAGTCTGTCACTTGGACCTGTCGGCCTAGTGTCATCCGTTCCTGTTATCCTGCCGTTTTCGTTGATCGGCACTGGTATGGGCTTGATCAAGTCTGGAACAAATATTGGTGCTGCCATTTTCGATATCACTACTGGTCTGCTACAGGATGCTGATGCCAATAAGGGATATGATGGCGTCATGCTATTTTTCATCACCATTGCAGCCCTTGCTACCGCCGCTGCAATTACGCTTTGTATCTTGGATTACTCAATCTATCATGGCATTCTCGACATGTCTGCCCGAGAGGCTCATAAGAGTGATGAAAACAAGATGAGCACTCGTATCTTATCTCAAAGACCACTGAAAGCAAACTATGTCTATGGCTCTGCTTATGCTTTGCTTGCTTGTCTAAGTTGGGTCTTGTTCTTTAGATTTATCATGTAGACTTTTCATTCTTTATTATTCTCATCAATTTACTTATACCTTTTTGTCTTTTTTTGTACATATTATACACACGCTTTATATTACATAAAAATATACAAGTATGCATTTGCAATCACTAAACCCTATGATAATTTATTTGAAGGCGATTCATGCTTATTCTGTTTATCATTCTCTCGGTCGATCACCTCATTCGGATTCAACATACTGTTATTCCCACTACTATTGCCTTGAACAATTCGCATGGCAATCTTTCTTGCGTCTTCTACAACTCCAGTCATCTTCATGCCAATAACCTGCAATGCTAGTTCCATAAGAGCACGGTCTGATTCTGCTAAATAAGTAAATATCAAAAGATCGTTCTTGGTTGTCGCAGGTGATTCCTTAAAGGACACAACGACTGCTCCAGCTTGTTTGGCAGGAGGAAGGGTACAGATGAGTGTATTTGGTGACCAATATTGTATGTTGGTAGCTGGTACATTACCAAACATCACAGTTAAACCTGGCCTAAAATTTGTACCTAATATCGTCACTTCAATACCGCCACTGGTGGGCGCTTCGTTGGGAATTAACCGTTTCATGATGGGCGGCGTTGGAGATGGTTGTTGTTGTTGTAGCATGCTGTTTGTAAACTTTTCTTCACATTTTATATTGGATATCATTGGAGAAGAGAATATGCCAGAGATTGAAGATGGAAATGTTGGATATGATGCTGATGCTGGTGCTGATGATTGAGATGCTGCTTGTGATGATGATGATGATGGGCTCGTAAAGTCGCTTGTAAAGGGCAAGGATTTCATCCAATTGAGTGATAGTAACCGAGACTCTGGTGCTACTTCGCTGTCTATGCGACGTCTTTTTGTACCTGATTTTGATTTATGGTCATCTGTAATCATAATGGGCGGCGATATTCCTTCTGCGATATTTTTGCCTGTATGATCCAGCAGTTGAAAATATATACTAATAGTATCCATTAATATCATCCATAAAAAGCAGTATATTTGATATTACCAAAATCCTATCTTTTCATTGTGGTGCCTGCAGTAGCAAGTAATACGGGTGGGCAAAATGGTATCTCCAGCACTAAAGTCCACTATCTCTGGACAATTAAATAAAAGAATTTCTTCTTCATTAGCAGTAACAGTCGCTTGATCTTCTTCTATCTTTTCGTCATTTTCGCTCTGCATTCTGTTATCTTTTCTTCTCTGTATTCTTTTTCTCTAATACACACATGTTAATGTCAAAAACAAGCTTTAATAGTAACATACTTCTCTTTGAATACAGCCTACGCACGTAGTTACTTTTTTTGAAGGATCACTTGCACACAGTACTCTTGCTTGTAGGAACAGTACCTTGTCGGGACTTACAGGAAGCTGCAGATGCCGATCCCGTAAACGTATCTTCTTGGACTTATCTTTTGTCACTTTTTGTTCTGGTAACCTCAAATGAGACCACCATTGAGCCTTCTCTCCTGCGTCTGTTACTAACTGCAGACAAAGCTTGATCTGTGTTTCAACTCTGGATTTGGCTCCAGTTTGTGGCACACCCAAGACTCTAATCTGTAACCTAAGATAATTCCTATTAAGCATGGATATATAAAGCGAAAGGGAACGTGATTACCCTTTGCCAGATTGATTTTGCTGTAATGCTGAACTGAAATAGGATGAAGGGATAGACGATGGTGATAGGGCTGAATTACCTTGGCCACTATTACTATATCAACTGAATTTAGAACGAACGTCTGATAAGTAAAATAGTGAAACTTACAGCGAACTTAAAAATGGTACTGGATGACTAGAAAGATATTCTGTAAAGCTTCGGGCAATATTAGGAATTGTTGGGAAGAGGTTGTTATGTGTGACATTAGAGATAAACTATGAGAAAAGAAGAGGGTAAGATAAGAGCTGTGTTTCATGTTTATTCACTTACATTGTTCAAGCCAGACCAAATGGAAGCTTGCTGCTCTCCGGGTGCAACAGTTTGGTCAAGTGAATCCATGTTGACACTTAATGAATCAGATAGGTGTGAGGCATTATCAAATGACGTGTCAGCCTTGACAGACTGCTTTAGGAATTGGTTATCCATTTGTTGTTGTTGCTGTTGTTGCTGTTGTTGTGTATACATTAAAGAAGAATTTTGTGCAATTTGCTCAAGGTTGTATATGAACTGATCGATCAGCGAGGAACTTTCTTGTTGTTTTATATGAGCGCTGTCGTCTGTTATACTCCCGCTAGAATGCCCTGATTCGTCAGCTGATAAGGGTGGTAGCTCTGTGTTGTGTACTTCTTTAGACATAATGCAACATAAGATTAAGAAAAAAAAGAGCACTAGAAAATCGCTTCCCTACGCAAAGCCCAATGAGGTCAGTTCCCCTATAAGTCAAAAGCTAGTCACATTCGCTCATCAGATCAAGCGCAGAAAATAGAGAGTCAGTCGCTGACGTTCTGTCGACCTTGAAAGAACAAAGCAAGAAAATAGGACATTATTATAGAAATACAGGTACTCTTATATAATAAAGGTCAATGCGGCCTTTTTATATCTTTGGATATAAAAAAAGGTACCTGTTGAGTACAGAATTTTTCTATTCCGAACAGTAAGGTCTACAGAACTTTAACCTAAAATGAAGACAGAAAACGAGAAAGAAATATTTATTAGACGTTTCGCTGTTTCCTTTTTTTTAGACAAGACTTGTGAGTAGCATCCTTTTTATTATATGAAATAGAGTGAAACTAGTGTAAAGACGACGGAACAGAGAATAAATGATATGGAGAGTATTGATATCTGTAAATAAGCAAAGATTTCCAATGATTTTAGGTTATCTAAAAACAGCATTTTCAAGGCAATTGCGAATTATAATTCATTTCATACATCATTTTTTAACTATGAACGAAAGCGACTTTCAAGTGTTATCAAGATCCTTTCAATTATACCCAGTTTCGAGTTTACCCCATCCAACTTTGGGCAATTTCCTAATTAGTCAAATGAGTATTTCTATATTTGTCCTACAGGTCATGTCAGATACATTCACTCCAAATTTGGTGGTTTATTCTTTAGTCAAACTTCATTAAGCCAAAAAAAAAAATCTATCCCAGATGATATATAAACCATAAGTTGTATTTTTTTTTACCTTTTTTCTTGTTTCTTACTCAAAAATATGTCAAATACACAAAAGAGGCTCGAAGCAGTAAAGCAGCAGTTGTCACCTGAACAAGAATATCAGGATGCTGTTGAGTAAGTGTAGAAGAATTTGACGCATCCAATCAGTTGCTTACCCGTAATCAAAGTCCTATTCGTAGTATGAACGAAGAACGAGCAAAGGCAGCTTTTGATATACGTAGTCTGACATATTTACTGGACGGTGGTGAGAAAAATACTTTTGTAAGGGAAACCAACTGTGTTTACTCAAGAGCTTTGACTAAAATATTTTCTATAGCTCAAGGAAAAAATTATGCAAGAGCTAGAAAGAGATCCATTATTTAAAATGGATGATATATTTGACCTTACAACGTCTGAAGTTCGTGAACGCACAATGGCAAAGGTTTGATTATACTAACCATAATAGCTTTTTGATTGTATATTAACAAAAATACGCCCGTAATATAGTTTCGCAGTATGCTTCACCATCTTCAAAATGAACCTGTAGATCAGTTCAAAAAACGTATGGAAATTGTTAGTTTAGTTGATCCAGGTTTTTGGACAAGATTTGGCGTACACTGTTTGTATTTTATATCGCATTCCTAATAGAGTTCTAATCTATTATGCAGATGGTCTATTTGTCGGAGCATTACAAAGTAATGCAACACCCGGACAACTAGGATACTGGTTTGAAAGAGGCGCCCTATCACTAAACAATTTTGTTGGTTGCTTTGCTATGACAGAGCTTGGCCATGGATCTAATGTTCCCGGACTTGAGACGACAGCAACATTCGATGAAGCTTCCGATCAATTTATTATTCATACGCCTACACTTACTGCTACAAAGGTAAAAATTGATCCTTATCTTACTTTCACATCATATACTTATATCAAACCAGTGGTGGATTGGCGGTGCAGCTCATTCTGCTACTCATGCTGCCGTTTTTGCACAATTGATTGTCAAGGAGAGAAGATATGGAACCAAGTGTTTCGTGGTGCCTTTACGTGATCCCAAGACATACAATTTGCTGCCTGGTGTCAATATTGGCGATATCGGCAAAAAAATGGGCAGGGACGGCATTGATAATGGCTGGATTCAATTTACACATGTTCGTATTCCTAGAGGCTATATGTTACAAAAGCATACCAAAGTATCTCGAACAGGTCAAGTGAAGGAACCAAAGCTGCAACAACTGGTAATATAAAATGATGTGCTCCATCTATTGTCATCTAACATTTCTATACAAAGACATATGGTGCGTTATTACAAGGAAGAGTAACCATGGTAGCTGATAGTGGACATGTATCCAAGAAGGCACTTAGTATTGCTATCAGATATGCCGCCGTCCGTCGACAATTTGCTCCTTCTGGTGCAAATGGCATTGAAACAAAGTTACTAGACTATCCAATCCATCAACGCAGATTGATGCCTCTACTTGCCCAAACTTTTGCCATGTTATTTACTGGAACAGAAATGACTGAAATGTACAATTCAATGATGGCAAGATTAGATGGTGCAAGAGAAGGTGACCAAGATTTGGATGAAGTGATGGAAATGCTGAAAGAGACCCATTCTACTAGCGCTGGCTTAAAAGCATTCTGTACCTGGAACTGCTTGTCCACTATTGAAGCATGCCGACAATCATGTGGTGGCCATGGCTATTCCGCATACACAGGTCTGGCAAGTATGTATCAAGACTTTGCAGTACAATGTACCTGGGAAGGCGATAATACTATCTTAACATTACAGCTTGGTCGCTACCTTATCAGCAGTTACCGTGAAGCCCTTAATGGAAAGAAACTCTCACCTGGTGTTGGCTATTTGAACAATCTTAATAAGCTCATTGGAAAGCGATGCAATGCAAAGGCTCTTGAAGATGTTTTAGATCTTGACACAATCAGCGAAGGATGGCAAGTAGTTTGTGCTCACGTAGTCAAGAATGCAGCTACCGAATTTGAAGAGTGCCTCAAAAGAGGTCTAAACGCTGATGATGCTTACGAGCAGTGCTGTAAGTCTATATATATTGCTTAAACCTTGACTCTAACCGCCACTTTTCCTTAGCGCAAGCCCGTCTTTATGCTGCCAAACTTCATTCATTTAGTTATCTCTTTAACCGTTTTGCAGATGCGGTCAAAAAGACAACTGGCGACTTGCACGTCATTTTGAGAAAAATCTGTCTCTTGTACGGCCTTTATACCATTGAAGAAAACGCTGGTGCGTTTTTACAATTTGAATATTTTACACCTGCGCAAATCGAGTTCGTTCGTGCTAGTGTCAACAATCTCTGTAAAGAAGTGCGTGAGCAGGCTATTCCTTTAGTTGATTCCTTCAACCTGACGGACTACATCATCAACAGTCCACTTGGCCGTAAAGATGGCAATGTTTATGTTCATTACTTTGAGCAGGTGAAGCGATCTAATCCACAGAGCGAACATCCTTACTTTGATCGTTTGATCAAGCCACTAATACAGAGATCAACTGAAGAAAATGATTATGAAGAGGAACTTGCAGGCTTAGAAGATGATGATGAAGATGAAGAGTAGAGTGTACCCAGTCATGATATTTATTACTGTATTGGTTATCAAATAAAATATTTTTTAATGCAATATATGGAAGGGAGGAGAATGTATGTCTATATGTACATGATAAAGCCATCGCCATTTTTATTTACATGTAGCTCACTCCACATAAAGAGGATGGTTCTTGATATCAACCGCGCCAATACTTGTCGATATGATCTGCAAGGATTTACAGTATACACGAAGCGTTACAGAATACGACGATTTTGGTAAACTGGTGCCTTCCTTTACTGTCAGTTTTCCACGAAGGTTTTTCAGAACAAAGGATCTCTTTAAGCCTTTTTTCGGGAATACATGCAAGAGCACAGCCTTGATCCTCAAGTTCTGCGGTGATTCTTTTGATGATGATTTCCAAAGATAACAGCTTTTGTCCCAAAAAAAGGATAAATCGACGTCCAATTTTTCAAGTGCTGCATGAGGTATTTTGATATCAAATACATTGTCTCGTTTTCCCATAATCTGGATGTAGCTAATCAGTTTGAAGGATTTTAATGAAGGGAGGAGTGAAAGGTACTGTGTGAGGACCTTTTGTTCGTAACGTATGATTTTCAATGATAGATTTTCGACTGAAGGATTAATTAGCTTTTTCCTTACTACTTCTGATGCAGGAGGATCAAGGTTGACGCAGGTGAGATGAAGAGCTTTCAGCTTTTGACAGTTTCGTAATATATCTTCTAACCATTTGCTCTTTTCGTCATTGAATGAGATATATTCATACATTTCTGCTCCCGTTGAAAAATGTAATTTCTCTATACTGTTTTTACATCCCTTCCATATCTCCTTTAACACACTTCTTTGAAGTGAACAGGCCGACATTAGTTTAGTTGGTTTGTCTGAGTTCATTTCGATCGTCAAGGGTCTCGTTGTTGTTTCAAATAGAAGTGGTGTAAAAGATGCATACTCTGTGTTGTATTTCATCTGCATCTGTAGCTCCTTCGGTCGAGTCATTTCCAACAGTGAACATGCATTTTGCGGTGAACAAGTGAGTCGAACAGAGTGTTTCGGTATCTTGAGAACGTATTCTGAAAACTTGCTATTTTCGACCGTTGAATACTCGTGATGGTGTCTAGTGGTGCCTCCAGCATGGATGATCATTTGTAGTTCTTGAAGATTGGGAAATTTATGCATAATGTAACTCAGCAGAGATGGGTCATAGTTTATTTCTACATTCAGTCGCTTCACATTCGGTCGTGGTTTCAGTTCGTTTATGCTGTATTGTATACTGAGACTAGCGTCTTGTTCCTCCCAATCGAGCAGATCATCGTCTCCTTTATACTCTTTTATACACGCTTCCAGATTTATTAGCTGTGGACATTCTTCAATTATAGGATCATAATCTATCAGCCGAAGTACTCGTGCACCGTGTTTTATCACTACAGTGTCTACGTGTGGAAAATATTTTAGATGCCTAATAACGTCTTGACCCCACACGCTTTGAGGATGACAGTTTGGAATAGCTATTCGGCGTAAGGAATTTTTAAAGTTGAAGGTGCAAAGTGTATATTCAACAAAGTTTGCGTTTGGATCTGGTATTTGTTTCAAATTACTCCAGTAAGCAAATGATAAATAAACCAAATCCAACCAGAACGAATGGCAAGGTTCTTCTGCTGCTGTGAGATATTCGACATTAGGACAAAGTGATGCTATTCTTCGTAAGACGCCCTCAATGTCGTCATAATTCAATGGGCTCACCAAGTCGAACAAATCTATTTTCTTGACAAGAGATCCCAATCTTGACCTTTCTAAGCAAGCAATAAATTTGTATAAGCGTCTTGTCTTGCTGAGTACGACGCTTTTATAAAGATATATTTCCGACGATGTCTTCCACTCCTTACAGACTAATAGGCATTGGTAATAGTCCTTCCTGGTAAAGTTGTCATTGTTAAATACCAAGCTGAGGACTTCTATTGGCAACTTATTCCACTTTGACATTTATGTATGTAAAAAGACAAGAAAAAAAAAAAAAGAAAGAAAAAGAGAAAGAGAGAAAGGTTAGACTTGATTAGGCAATTTTATGAATTTAAAAATAAAGAAACCCCTACAGAATATAATATCAATCTACTCTTTCTTTTCTCCTTTTTTCTCTCTCTCTCTTTTTATTGTCTACATAATCAATGGTTCATCACTGTTTGAAAGACGATTTAAATGCAGATAGGCGTCTGTTCCGTATCTAAAATATCAAGTTTAGTTTATGCATAATCCAAGGTATGATATATTCATATACCCTTCCATTGATATAAGCTTCAAATCTCCTCCAAAATACCTTGCATACTGTATACATGATAAATATCTTGAATTCATTTTAACAAACACACTTACCAATCTCGAGATTGGGAGACCATATCCAAATCCAGCCATAGGCGCTTTAAATTCAGTTTGGTTAAACTCAGGTTCTAGTACTTGAGCTTGTGCAGTCGTGTACTATAGATACATTTATATACATATATATACTGCTCATTTGATTATGATTATTGATTACCATATAGGTCCACACCATAGGGATACCTGACCTTGGTATACCTCCACCTTCATCTGATATCTTTATCGTAATATCTTCTTTCCCATGGGCAATAGCTACCTTAATAGGTGGGTACTCGTCTTCATAATCCACTCCAAATCGTTCGACCACTGCTCGAAGCGAGTTCTTTAGCAGCTCAAATATCATATGATTAAGATGTGAAGGAACATACATAAACTCAATATCCTGTGGGCAGAATAGTTGAACTTGAGGTGCTTTAAAGAGACCATAATGATCTTCACATATAATTCGTGCATTTTCAATGGCATCCTGAGCAATTTGTTTAATATTGGTATTTGTACAAATTACGCCCACATAATTGGGCAGGAAAGGACCACGATAGAGTGCAGAGTGTTGCCCTATAAGCATGCGAAGACCTATTCTCGACATGTAAAACCTGTCCAAAAAGTGTTGGATTTCAGGATCTATCGTGGTTGCTTTCCAGTGCTCCTTATATTCAATAATACCCTGAGCCATTGTTGTCACTACTGGGTCATGTCTCCTTTTGACTTCTTCTATCGTTTGCACCAGCTTGTCTACATATGCCAACATTGAGGGCGTACATTCAATACTTTCGCAATTTGTATAATATCTAGCTTGGCCAATCAGAATCGTGTACTTTTCTTTTGCATAATTTTTTTATTCATAACCATGAACCCATACCTGTGAGTGGAAGGTATGGCTGTATAGTAACTATACTTTGGTTTTTCACACGGATAATCCACGTTGGGTATACTCTCTGGAAGTAAAGTGGTGTTTCTCGTTGCATCCTTTATATTGGCCTTCATTTCAGATGTCAACTCAGGAGGCGACAACATTGTTAATTCCTGGCCACAGAGAATAACCTTATTATTCACGGTTGTACTTTGTTTCTTTTTCTTACCTCAAATGATTGAGCGTACCAATTCTTGACTTTAACAATCGAAGGCATTTCTCCTAGATTAGGTGGTAACTCATCCAGTTCCTTTACGCGATGAGCTATTCGGATTGGTAATTCCTCTATTGTACACGTCAGTTGAGAACTGTATTCACAAATGTGTATATGTGTATAGCGTATTATCACTACCATGTAGAAACTGGCTTGCTTTAAAAAATGTAAGAGGTGAAGGTTTTTGACCTAAATAAAAACATAGTTTGCATAAAAGGTAAAGTGAATGATTTTCCAAAGAGTGATTACCCATCATGACCATTTGTCTTAGTGAGACACCTGTTTGTGGAAATCTCGCGAAATGGTTAATTCTTTCAGATAATTGAGGCGTGATTTTGAACATGAGAGAGAAAGAGAAAAAGAGTACAGAGAGAAAAGGCAGTAAAGAGAAAGAGAAAAAAAGCGAGACACAAAGAAACCCAGATACGGTTAGGGTCTTTTGTGGGAAGTGGGGAGGACAATCGCAATCTCTTTTATTTTACTTTTGTCCAACGCAACGATAAAATGTCCATATGGCGTCTGGTTTCTTTTGAAGGTTGGCATTAAATAGCTCCAAAAATTGTTCATAGTCCTCTCCCGTATATCCAACTCGTTCCTCTATGACAGGCTGAGCGCTTTTGAATATCATGACGATATCCCATAAAAACTCTTTATTGAGTGCATCTGTTTTGCCTACAATAGATGGTTAATACGATAATCAGTGATGGATGATTTGCATACCAAAGTAGATGTCTTTTGTTTCAAAATTGAGGATATTAAAGTCTGCGGCCTGTAACGTTTTATCCATCTTGTGAGCAACATATGGATCTTGTTCCCTATCGATGACACTTTCTGTAACTATAAAAGCATTAGCATGTGAACAATGTCTCGGGTTGTCCTTATATTACATGCTCGTCCCGCCTTTAAGACAAATTCATTTCCTCTTTCCTATCAAAGTATTAGTTCATAAGACAGATGGCGGTACCGGTAGACTTACAAGCATACTGCACTCACAACACTGTATGAATCCTCCAGGTTTTAATACCCGGTATATTTCTTTTAATACAACCGGCCATTCGTTGGCTTTTATAGATATAATAAACATTCTCAAATTTACCAGATCAAACGTATTATCCGGAAAAGGTAAACCTTCCAAGGCATCACGCACCTGGAAAGTGACATTTGCTGGTCGAATGTTGCTAGGAAATAAATCAAAGATATCAATGCCGTAAAATTGGCTTCCAGGAAATTCAGTTGCTACATCCTTTTGAGAACAGTTACTATGCCAACCCAAAAAAAAAGTTTAACTTTGTGATATAGTTACCATAAGCCAAGTACCAGGACCACACCCCAAATCCAAGACAACCGAGTTTTCCATATTCAGTCGATTCAAGATGTGACTTGAAATGTTTCTGATAAATGAAACGTTAATTTTTGACGATATATTATTTTGGGTACACGATTTTACTTACCCTTCAAAAAGAATTTTCAAGGCAAAATGTTGCTGTTGTCACAAAAATAGCCCGCTTTAGTTTCTATTTATTTTTAAACATGTCTGCAGACTTACGCTACTTAATCGATCTAGCTCATCATTGTGGTTTGGAAACCAGTAAGTTGTGGTTGATACCTGAGAAGACTTTCTTCCACTCGTACAGACGCTGCTCGTATGGGTGTTACTATCCGTATCGTGATGTTTTTCGTCTATCAAAGATGATGAGTTGCCTTGAATCGAAGATTTCTTTGCTGTAGTTGAATTACTGATACGTTTTTTTCTAGATTGATATGACAGTTTATTCCCCATGTTTAGCTTTAAATAGGGGGGATATGTCAGTAAGAGTGACACACAAAAAAATAAAAAAAAAAAAGAAAGAACTGTAGAAGGCTAGAAGTATTGATTTTTTTCCTTAGTTTGCGGACTGAAATGTGACTCCGATATTCTCAAGCAATTATCATTCAAGCTCAACTGCTATTACTTCCAAACTGACAGTTTAGTGTTGAGAGTAAATATGTGTAAAGCCAAAATGAGCCCATCACTATCCTCTCTTTCTTTCCATTTATTCATTTTAATTGATAACCACACAATGGCAACACAATCAGTGGCTGTGATTTGATTAGTTATGTTTGTATTTCATATAAACATTGCTTATCATTGTATTCCTTGACATTTATCTTTTAAACCATCCTTTTAAATATTCTGCGTATCATTAACTGAAACTTCCTGCCAGAGGCTAAACCTGTGAATTACTTTCCTTCAAGATTGGCAATTGAGCTCTTAGGCTCCAATCATACTTAAACACAAATATTTTGGTTCTCGAGATTAAGAAAGAGATAAACCCTACAACATGATTACCTCTCACTTTTAAAAGAGCTGAAGCTTTAAACAAAGAGATACCGATCCTAAGCTTTTGAATGTAAATTACGCGCTTGATATCCTTGATTCAAGAATGGTTCCTTGATTCTGACTTTGAAAATTAAGCAACCTACAAGAATAGATTCATGACTTGCTACCGTATCAAGGTCAACGCCAAGGATAATATTACTAAAATTATCAATTTGAAGACGGAAAAAACGTGAACCTATTACGCGTTATGTTCGCCGCTTTGAAAATCTGCGTACTCGTTATGTTAGAAAATGGGAATTGAAAAGATTAACCAATTAATCTGCTGCCTCGTTTAAAGACCAGAACATTGATAAAGGAAAAGCCATCCCACTTGGCAAAGGTGTATTTAAGAATTCAAGTTTTGTTTGAATATGTCTTCAATGAACTTACACATTTCTTTAAAAGAGAATCCAAGACCTTGATCATCGAGCATCTTTTCAGTAGTTGCAATATTGAATTCTATACTGATGCAATAGGGTTTGTCATATTTGATCATATTTATGATCTACTATCTGTATTTTGTTTAGCACACCAACATATAATGAAAGCTGATTTTTGTCACTAAGATCTCGAACTTCTAATGAAAATATAAAAACAAAGACTTGTTTCTTTTATTCTCGATTTGTACGAGTACTAAACCAGCAGGTACTATAGCTATAATCATGCCCCCCACAATTCCATATATTAATCAAAACTTCAATCAGACTTTTAAATTCTTTCAGTGATTATGCGTTAGTGTTTTCAAAACTACAAATGTCATGTTGAATAACAGGATCGTGGTCTACTAGTACTACAACTTTGGTTGGTCGTTACAATCATTATTTAAATATGGAAGCACTGTCAACAATAACACTGTCAAGATATATTTAGTTTTGCGAGAAATGTAAGCAGTCAAAGGAAAAAGTTGTCGGACGTGATGAAATGGGCTGAAAGTTGACATATATTGTTCATTTTAAATTACCAAATCTTTAAATATCTTATTTTAGCTTAAATAAATATAGCATATTGTGTTCTTTCAAAGGATCAGGAGAAAAAATTACCATAAACCTTGTTAAACGCCTCCTACTGTCGTCTTTTATGCAAGATATCAAACACACCCTTTGATCATTTATTTTTCAGCAATGACACCTCAAGTGCCCTTAGCTGTTATTATGGATCGAACTTGTACAACGTAAAATACAATAAGATCTTCGTGTTGTGAAATGCGTGGATGCTTTACAACAAGAGATGGTGAAAATAAAGAAACTAGATATAACTGGCGGGGATACCTATAATCACTAAAAGTGTAATTGTGATGGTACTTTATAAACTCGTATACTATATCAAAAAAAAAAAAGCGATGTGACAATAAATGATTACTAGTGTAACAGAATAACAAAAAGAATTTATGTGTTTTGTCCTACGGTTGCCTTGGTGATAGAGTGAACGAGCCTTTCTGGAAAAAAAGGAAAATGGAAAAGTTAGAAGATCCAATTAAGAGATTAACATGGAGATAGTGACCATGACGACCATACATCAGCCAAATTACTTTCTATTTTTTTCACTGAGCGGAATTAAAGATACCAATAGAAGATGAGGAGAACAAAAGCTGGCTTGAATTTTAAATGAAAACCCTGTTCCACAATTAATAGAAAATATTTATTATGCTCAGTTGTGTCTTTTTAGTACAAAGAGCGAATTGGACTTATTTGACAGGAGTACGACAGCGCGTATTATTCATTCATTGGTTTATCCATTTTTATAGTTAAAAAAAAAAAGCTTAACCTAATTCGTCAACTTTCAATGTTCCTATTCTCATACCTACAATAAAGCAAAACAGTTAGCTCCGACATTTCCCTTTTTAGAATTAAACTTTACTTTCACTAAGAGAATGTGATCCAGACGGACGTCGAATCAATTTTGGTTTTTCTTGTTTCTTTCGAACGACGACGACAGGTACGGGCGTGGCATGGACAAGATAAGTTGAAACTGAACCCATTAATAACCTAAAGATAATGTATATATGTATAGTATGAGCATTGTATCAGTTGTTTACATGATTACCTTTTGACAGAACTTCGTCCACGACTACCACAAACAACCATATCATACTTATTCTCTTCGATCTAGTCATTCTTTTGTCAGTAACAAGTGAATCAAGCCTAACCATATCTTTACCAGTCCCTTTAGTTTTTCTTTTACACGTCCCACAATAGCGTGCGTGACCACCTTGATACTAAACAGAAACATTTGATCCATAGTTCTCTTTGCTCTATCAGCCAGCATTTTCGATATTCGTTCTAGCTACGATAGTCCCTTTTTTAAAAGAGGTCCATTGGATAAATTTTTCTTTGTGGTTACCTCACTTCCTTTGTCTAATCCACTTGCTTTTACAATGTCCGGATTATCTTCACGGTTAGAAACAGTTGCGATATGAATCTCATCTCCATCACGTAGAATAGATCCCATCGCCCAATTCAAGGCATTGTCGCTTTCATCACTAAAGTCAAAAGCTACGAGATAGCATTTCGTCTGTCTTCTCTTTAAACGATATTTAGAAGGCAAGATGCCACTCTTGCCTGCCCCAAAATATCGAATAACAGTGATTCTGTCAACGTTATTTATTGCCACAGGATTTTCAGAGAACACAAGAAGTTCTTGAAGTACCTTCTCACTTTGCTTATGAAGAGATGCGCTAGAGGAATTATTTGACAATGGTGGTGTGGGAGTGTGTGATATGCATTTATTCTGTTCTGTTCGTTTAACCAATTCTTCATCAGATAACTTATCATCAGGCTCCTGTACATTTTGATATCCATCCTCTGTCTTGTCCTCATATTCAGATAGTTGTCGAGATAACAGAGCCATCATGTCTACACCATCTGATTCATTCTCTTCAGGTTGTATGATATTTTCGATTTTATTTTGTTCATGGCTTAGTTCTAATTCTTGTTCTGTTTCCTCTTCTGGGGAGCAACGATTAATATTTTCAAGCTCATTTTTCAACCATGTCCGCCTAACAGGCTCCTCTGTTGTCAGTGGAACTGTCTCGGGTGACTTTAAAGGGTTTTCTTGACTCATAATTTATAGAAAAGCGAAAGAAGATGTAATCAATCTCCCACGTTCTCATGCATTGACCATAATGACTTCATTGGTCCGTGAAATTTTTATGCAGAAAATAAAGTAATTTTAATGACTTAAAGTTGAACGAATCTGTAAATATAGTTAGCAAATAAATATAAATGAGACAGACTTCAACTTGCCTTTTCTATAGTAAAACGATCCTTAATGGACCAAGTTAGCATATTTTGAATCAATGTGCGGTCTTTCATGTCTACATTGGCATGCTCCAGTACTTCTTCTAATGACTTTACAGGGGATTCTTCATATTTTTCGTCATCCATATCAGAATCAGGATCATCCATATCAAAAAAGTTGAGTTTATTAGCGTCAGGATAAATCGACATTTCCTATATGATGATTAGCCTATCCTCAAATAGATAATGAAGAGTATATACTTTTTGGACTTGTTTAGAAGGAGCACCAAGTGTTTTCACATAGAGACCAATTTGCTCCAAGTCATTATTGCCTTGAAACAGTGGCTTTCCTATCAACAGTTCTGTAAAGGTTGCTCCTAAAGACCATATATCGGTTGAGGGAGCATAAATTTTGTAACCAAAAAGATACTCTGGAGCCTTATACCATCTATGAATAGAGGGGGAAATGAGTCTCGATTTGAATATCACCCCACAGACACCATAACACACCTTGTTCCAATCACTTCATTTTGGACAGGCTGGTCTTTTTCGTAAATCATGCGAGAACAGCCAAAATCGCCAATACACATGTTTCCATTAGAATCTACCAGAATGTTATCTGGGCTTATATCACAGTGAATAATTCCATGCGAATGTATAAAGAGCAGCCCTTGAGATATTTGCTGAAGAAAGCTGTGTGCAAGTGTGTGTCGCGTTGTAGTTTGTGGTTGTTTCAAATAGAGTCTTAGATTATAGTCATACCAAGTAAGGAATAGCTGATAAGATGACGGCGTTTCATGAATTGAATATAAGTAAACAATCTATAATGTATAGATTAGAAACAAGTTGGATTTGACAGCCAATGTAATTTACATGATGTTCTTTTGCAAAATTAGCATCTTTTAAATCTAATCTCTTCAATGCTTTAACCTCTCGCTGGTAATGTTCGAGAGCTAATTTTCCATGCTGCTTTGAGTATGTCTTTATAGCCAAAATACACTCTGGGGTGACTTCCTTTGTCACTGAGGCAAATGTGCCTATCATTTATATTTTTTTTTTTTTAAAAAAAAAGACTATTTATGTGTTACAATAATATAGTTGCCATACAGGTTGTATAAAGAGCTGAGAAAGCGAGATATGTTTAAAAAAAATACTAGAGATGAAATATTTTTGCCCATGGATGAAGTTTTGAGTTCAAAGTTTAGTTTATTTACAATGCTTATCAGCTCTATGCCTAAAAATCATTATGCGTCTTGCTTACAATTGAAATTAGCAAAGCATCTCTTTCTAAATAATATCTCAACAAGACAATGAGTAAAAAGAAAAAGAGCCATTATTCAAACTGTGATCCAAACAAAGCTTGTCATTTTTGTTTGAACTTTGCTCAATTAGGTTTCACAAGGTGTTCCCTATAACCATATTTGATCAAATTATCCTAAAGAAGCTAGAGCACATTATTGATTATGCGCCCCTTGCATAGTAGTCTTGCATAGTAGTTTATGATTATCTTTACATTTACACTTCATCCACAAATTATTCGCACGCTGATAAAGAAAATGATAATTTCAGACAACAAATAATAATAAAAGAGATAGTAAAAAATGATAAAAGAGAGCTCATCAGAAGTAAAAGAATGAATAAAGAAATGATTAGTAAATCAGTTATTTACATTGATATTAAATACTTACATTATAAAGAAGAGAATTTATAATAGAAAAAGAGAAGTCAAGATCAGGCCATTTATATGAAGTCTCTAACAACTTTACATTTTACCATGAAGCGCTGACCACATTTATCTTCTCTCGAAAAGACAAAATTGATTGTCTTTTTAACAATAAAGAAGACATAGAAAATGGTGTATTACGCTGGCTTATTCTCTTTTTTATTTGTAATTTATGAAAAGATTTGGTACAGTGAATCATATCCATCGATGCACGATTATAAAAAATGGTCATTCATACTTTATTAACAATATTATAAATAACGGATAGAACCCTTTGCGCCAATCACGGCATGTAATCATCTTACATCACTGTGATGCTAATTAAGAGACAAACAGCTGCAACAAGGGAAGCAGGCTTAGCTAAAGAAGCACTATTGACTGATTGAGTAATCGCTGTTCCTTGTGCTGATGGGGCTGGACTATTGCCTTGTTGAGAAGATGAAACAGCAGCGTTAGGAGTGGACGCTGGGGCAATACTGGTTGTAGTTGGCAAAGAGACAGAAGAGATACTTGCCGAAGCAGAGACTGTTGAAGTCGAAACAACAGCAGGCGTGGATGAAATAGCAGCAGAAGATGAGGGAGCGATAGAAGAAGATGAAGGGGCAGCTGAGCCAGCAGAAGAGATACCTGCACCGGAGCCGTCAAGGGGGCCACTGTAATCACCAGGGACAATACGTGCACATCCAGCTTCGGAAATACCACGGTTACAGTCTTTATCGTTATTCTATCAGGAGAGGATGTTAGTTACAACAATATCAATTTGGATAGTGACTTACACAGCAACGGATACAGTAATCTTTTCCGGTAGGTTCGATCAATTCGACAAAGTAATCCCATCCAGCACAGGAGGCACCATTAGGCGCCTTAATGTCATACTGTCCACCATCGTCTGTGCTCAGTAAATTGGCTTTGGAAGGATCGATCTGACCTGTGACCTGCACATAGTTATCTGTCTTTACATAATGGGCAGACAAAATGAAACCAGAGGGTAGTTTGTCAGCACCAGTGGCAAGAGGTGTATTTCCCATACAGAATGCATCAGCATCTGATTCGCTGTCAGATATATTTCGATCAGTGGCATCATTAGGGGGAAGAAAAACACAGAAATCTGTAGCATCTACAATTTGAACTATTTTGCCACTTGCATTTACCAAAGTAAAAAGCAATGAGAGAGTAGATAATACTAAACCTGTCCGTAAAAGCATTATTGCTCAATAAAGAAAAGGAGAAAAAAAAAAAGAAAAAGAAAAAAGAAAACAGCTCAGAGAAAAGAGCAATCTTTTTAAATCCATACAAGTGACACACTTGTTGTATCACATCATGACCATATATCCTTTCTTTACATAATAGCACATAATATGAAGTAACAAACAGGCTATCAAATGTATACAGTCATCCTCTCTTTAACTCATGTTGCCTTTCAATTGATCAAAAAAATACACATGAATTGAAGTTTCTTTTTCTATGTTCATCTTTTTTTTTACTCTTATTCCCTGATAGAAACAATTTTTCCTATTTAGGATCATTATTTATTTTTGGAACAGTGCCTTTTTTTTTGTTTTACCGCACCCTTTTTCACTGGACCTTGCAGATGGACCTGTGTTTGAGCGGGAATAAAACATGCTTTGTGCCAAGAACCTTACTTTAAAAACTAGTGTAAAGCCTAAAAATATCAATTGTTGTATTTTATTTATTTGCTTCTTACACAAGTACAACAAACACGATTAAGAGTTTTGATTCACATATGATTTGAGGCAAATCTATATTCTTGTCCGATGTTAATATGGGAAAGTGATGTCATATTATATGCTCATACAGCTTCTATCGGCTTGAATCTACATGAAGAAGGTAAATGTATGATGCTATTCTTTTCATCAATAACCAATGAATAAATTGGTTTAAAGTTAGAGTAACAGTACAGTAAAATTTAGGCAGGTACAAATTATGATTAGCTCTTTGAATACTCTATAAGTCAATATCAGTGCTAAAATACCACATGACTCCCACCATCAGTTGCATTGTTTCTTTGTGTCCCCATTGACGCTTTCTCGGTCGATCTTTTCACAGCTAAAACGGCATGGCTTCTAGTTATGGCCAGTTTTTACCGTCACCCTGGCTTGGTGAGAGTGCATCTGGATAAATGTTCAACGCGACTGTTTCCCCCAGGAAGCCAACTTTCCGGGTGAGCAGTTCCTTTGCTGACCCCATAATATCAGCTAATCTTTAACCTCGCTCGCCTTTTGATTGCACTATACCCTTTTTTACCCTTGTGCCCAAAGGAGTTTTTTTTAGATTCCTTTACAGACTTTTTGACCTCGTTTGGGCAATATTTTTATTGCGCTCACCAGGACGGTATATTAAACAAAATCCGCTGCTTTTACCGATTTGAATGGACGGGCAACGATAGAGAGGCTGGGAATCAGCGATAGGGGAAACCTGATGTAGACGCTCTGCGAAGGGAGGCGTTTAATTACTTGAGTCGAACTATGTCAGCCTTGGGCAGCAGAAAGTTCTGCTTGTAGTTGCTTCAACATTGACATAGTACGGACACACTTTCCAATTTAGATAAAAAATATCAGAAATGATGGAAAGCCATTTAATTTTTAGAAAACGTTAAAATTCCATATGTTTAATTGTATACATAGACATCTTTTCAAGTCTTTGCAAATCAGTTTGTAGCAAGTAAATTGGCGCGCAAAAAGTCAAAGCTCCTTTTGAAGTGTGTCGAAAGGTTCCTACCACCGTGCATCACTTCAGCTATGTACAGTATTACCATAGCAAGGAACTCTGACAGATCCTGGATTTTACTAGAATGTGTTACTGCTTGTTTGAGTTTTATTTCTTTGTTGAACAACAACCCCGACCATTACAGCTTTTCTCTTCCCTATGGCGCATTCATTCATGTTTGAATGTTTCTCAGCTGTAGGCACTGATCATCTACTTCAAGTAGTCAGCATCAATTACAGTTATGCTCTTGGGATTCTTATTGTCATATGGATTATACTTCTTTTCACTTCTTGTAAAAATCCATTTAAATCTAGCGAAAGTATAAAGCTAAATTGCTGGTATTGCAATCATGATTCATATATAACCCTTGGCAAAAGGGAAACCCAGGAGTACTGGTTATGCGCTTTTTGTGGAAGTGAAAATGCGAGAAGTCAGGTAAAAATAACAGAGATATTGTGTGTGTGTGTAAAGCTGATTCCCCCTTTTTTTTTCAAAAAGTCAGGAGAAGTGATCGATCCTCCACCACTTGTTCCAGAGAACAAACTTCAGAGATGTAGGCTATTCTTGTTCTAGAATGATTCTCTAGATTAACTGTAGTACATTTATAGTTGCCAGTTTTATTGAAGAGGACCCAACACCAAATAAGAGCAAATACTCTCTCTGTAACGACTGCCAAGAAAAACAGCAATTAAAGTTGAATTTGTTACGTGATTATATTCCAGATGAAAATGTAAGTAAAGGCTAGGTTTATAAAGCATTCAACTAAGCTTCTTTTTTTTTTTTGTTAGGACCCAGAATATAAAAGGAAATGCAAAACTGCTGCTGCTTTCAAAGAATCTTTAGATAAACAATATGAAATTTGCGAGAGTTGCCAAAAAATGCTACAACAACTAAAAGCAGAGGATGCCTCTTTGTTTATGTCCAAGAGACTGGAATTATTGTTGGAGGACAATAAACGATATGGCGTGCCTGTCACCATATCAGCAAATTATCATCTGAGGAGAGGCTTCTTTTGGTTGACTGTTCATCTTGGAACAATTTTATACTTGATCTATGGTAAGAATCTAAGTTTGTTATTATATTATTTTTATTGACATCATAAACTACAGCATGCTATCATCCGCCATCTACCTCTAATTTTACGCTGGTTAAGGAATTATGTAACAAAGCTTTCAATTTTTTGACAGCATGTTTACAGACTTCAGACAAGGAAGAGATTATTGTCAAGCTCATGTCTGCTTTTGAAACATATACCAAATCGCTCTTCGAAAGAGTCATCAAATGCGCTGCACACGCCATATACTGTTTGAATAAGGCCGATACAACAAACAAAGACTGCGATGCTGATATAAAAGAGTTCTTCATAGAAGCACTTGTTATAAATATCCTTTCTTACAAGCTTATTCATTGGCATCCATTACTAAGGAAGGCATACAACAAAGTAAATCGATTTCATCATTGGCAAAGCTATCTGGTAAGAAGAAAACAAAGGCTATCAACTACCTAGCTTAATGACTCTCTTTTTTTTTCAAATAGATCGTTCAAAATGCTTTATTCTATTGTCGATTCGTCATTCTTCTCTATTTGAGATTCCCTGCTGTCTGGTTAACATTCTACGTACTCGTAAGTTCTCTAAAAGAATAAACTAAAATATGGTACTCATTCGGACATTAGACGCTAGCTTACTCAACTTTTAAAGTAAGAATTAAAGGCAAATACTTGGCACTTACACCAAGAATATAAGGGAAGCAAGCAGTTGCATGTAAGTTGTATAGTGTCACTCTTATTCATAGCATTGTAGAAATATAAAAGCATCGCATTATATGCATTTTTTGTTTTCCATTTATGAGACAACATGAAAACAATAAAAAAAGTATATTTTTAAACAGTATGAATGCGAGTATTTTGATACGTATTTATCAAGTGATGGCTTACATTTTATTCACAAGTTATTCGCACGCTGACAACAAATAACGATAAAAGAGAGCTCATCAGAAGTAAAAGAATGAATAAAGAAATGATTAGTAAATCAATTATTTACATTGATATTAAATAATTACATTATAAAGAGAGTTTATAAGAGAAAAAAAGAGATTATTAATATCTTACTCGAAGCACATTAAATGGGGCTGGCGACAACTAGTCTGGAGAAAGAAGAGAAAAAAAAAAAAAAGAAGCAGGCAAGAAAGAGAACGGATGAGACCAAGACTTGGTAAGAACCAAACTACTTCCAGCTAGTACCGGTGCTGTTTTCGAATTTATGATCTATAATACTACATATTAGTTTCTTACAAGAGTAAATCATATAACATACCTTAGGACTAGCTGGGGAATAGCTGGTTTTACTTTTTGGTTTAAGAAAAGAAACGAAAAAGTCAAGGTCAGACTATTTGTATGGAGTCTCTAACAACTTTTTCAGTTACGTGTTATTTACCAGTGCTGACTACATTTATTTTATGCTTAAAAATATCAAGCTCATTTTATGTATTATTAACATTGTCTTTTAAACAATAAAGAGGACGTAGAAATCAACTAAAGTGTTAATTGTTATTGGTCTTTTAATGTGTGCCAATAATCTCTGCAATGGCTTATTTTAGACGAAAAAAAAATAAAAAATAAAATAAGCTGTAGTCAACTTTTTGGATAATGGAACCAGGCTTATTCAATCAATGACAACAAATTTACGTGAACGATCCTTTGCAACAAAAGTATACGTGTCACCTTGTGTTTAGGCCTCCCGCCTTTTGTTAAAACGCGATCTAAAAATGATAACCAAATAATGGAGAAATTATTTGAAGTAATTGGGAGTATACAAGACTTGCTACATTATTTACAATCGTCTGATCAAAGTATTTGTATGGATTTTTCTGGCTTAACTTCCAGAAGTCAGGATATTTTGATGCAATGTAAGAATTTATGAGGCGTTATCGTAATTACTCTTGACATGATCTTGGTTTTACACACCCTCTTCTCCCTCTATATTCCTTTGTTTGCTACATTCTCACTTAAGAAGATGGAGATAAAAAAAAGTAGCTTTTTTATAGCTGTATTTTATTTTAAGTTGTACAATTCGAACAAATAAAGAAAAGAACGACTACAACAACCAAGATCACTTAGCTTGAAGTGTAGTTATGATGATGCTTTGTAAATTCGTACACTACATCAAAGTATCTTGTAATCGTCGCCTCATTACCCTAAGTTTGGAGTAGAATATCACATGACATTTCAGTTTCCATGGCAACCGTACCTTTCCTTGTGCGTTATCGGAACAGGTCCCGTAAAATAATCCACAGTTATTATTTTGTTTGCTGCAACCATTCGTGTTCTTGTGTGTTCCTCCATCTTGTTGTAGTTAGAAAGTTGAAAGAACAGGCCCAAAAAGGAACATGTTTATAACAATAGTGTAATGTTAGATATATGAGTTATCATGCTGTAAGTCGCAGCATATTAATCACTGTAGCTGTAGGTTGTACACAAGTTCCAAAAGTGTCGTTGTATCTTGCGGACACTGATGTTGCATTACTTCAAGTGTTGACGTCGGATCATCCGAATAAGTTCGTCAAATTCTTTGTCAATATCGCTTGGCGTAAACATTGAGTATATATGGTGAATGTGATGTTCTAAAGTTGTTCCAGAAGCACAACAAAATACAACTAAAATAATATAGGCAACTACGCCTTAACTGTCAAAGCGTATAGAAGATGTGTTGCTATTTCTGTTTTATACTCTCTTCTAATTTTTGATCTTACCGTGCCCATTGCCTTTTCTACGATTTTTTTAATCATGCCCATATGGAGCATAAAATAGGTTATTTTGTTTCTATTAAGAATTTGCTGTTGATGAAAGTAGATAATTTAGATGATTAACGCATTAAAATCATTCTCATCAACGCTTTTTAGAATGGATTTCTTAAGGATACCAAACATTCTTTGGTCATACATTACTCAACTTCTGCCAAGGTATATCCTGCATAAGTATCCTTGGCTCGTTTGATCAAGATCATTCAATTCTTGGCGATAGTTGAGAAGCTCAAGGGACAACTTGAACTCATTGTAGGTATATTCAAACAGCGACATTTGCCATAAAGAGTAATTAGTTTTTGGTTTAGTGAAATTTGTACACAAGCCAATTATGGGGCGGTGCACCTAAAGAAAGCGCATACTTAATACATGATGACTCTTTATGCGTAATAGCCAAGCACTATTATGTGTTGTTGTTTTTGCATAATAAAAAAAATCAAACAACGGTTTTCCAATTGTGATTTATTATCATTAAAGGAAATTTAGTAAATAAAGACATTTTTATGTAGCAGCTAAATAGGCAAAAAAAAAAACTTAAATGTTACGACGTGCCACACTGAGGAGGCACCACGATTCTTAGAAGCAAAGGAAACTTTATTCCGCTGCAAGACTGTGTATCGTTTCAAGCTTACTCAAGCTACCGTGAGCAGACGGGTAAGGCGGGAACCGAACGCGATCTGTTGAGCATGCTAGGACATATTCACAAATTACGATAATAGAAAAGTCACGCTTAAGTTTTATGATGCCATCCTCCTCCTTTTCTCCTTTGCGCTGCGCCATAGACTAATACCTGACGTCTGGTGCACGATCGACCTTAAATATATAAATATGACAAGCCGGGAAAGTGTTGCACAAAAGCTCAGAAACAGAGTAATGATCTTGTTTTTTCTCTCTCGTCCTTTTTTCTCTTTTTTTCTTATAAATGAAGGACTAAATATTGTGTCACTTTTTGTTTTCTTTCGTCTTTCTTCTCTCTTCTTTATCTTTTATCTTCTAAACAAAATGTCTACCGAAAATGGATTTGGTATTTTTCTCGACCAACTTATGCAGCTTTCTAATGGCAATATATATTCAGAAGATGATCCAGACACCTTTTTACAGTTCACTTCTGACTTTCAAGTCTATGAAAGTGGCACCGTGTTCCACGACAGTCAAGAGCAGTTGCCGTCGCTCAGCCAAGATCCTCCGCTAGACCTGGAAGCAACTACGTTTGACCTTACTAGCAGCTTTAGCACCAGTACATGCAATTCATCGGTGCTCACAGATCATGCCTCATACGATCCGGCGCTCCCATGGACCACAGGGTCTCCTTATACTTACTTTGAATCGCTGCATAACCGACGGTGTTTATCTCCTGTTACTTCATTCTTCGAGTCGCTGACAATAGGTCAGGCATCGTACATGCCTGATCAACTCAGTAATCAGCAAAACGGTACCAAACGGCCGACATCTCCTCTACAGCATACCAGAAGACAAAGCGCACTTATATCCTCTAAAAAGCGCCAGGCGGGATGCAGCCTTGAAGAAACTCAGTCTTCAAAATCAACCGATAGACAAGCGACAAACATTGACCAGTGTCTTAACAGCCAGAATGCAAGAACCAAGGCAAAAAGCAAGCCTGAACGCCTATTCCCTTGTCCTACTTGCGGAAGAGCTTTCAAAAGACCTCAAGATCGAAATCGTCATCAAGTTAGCCACACAGGCGAGAAAAGATTCTTCTGCGGCCACCCCAGTTGCCAGAACAAAGGCTTTACTAGAAAAGACGCTTTGACAAGACACATGAAGTGCCATGAAAACTCTGGTGACAACAGGACAGAAAAGCAAAGTAGAACAGTGAAGAAAACCAAATGTAGCATTTCACATAGAGAAGCTCTCTTGAAAAAATAACACTTGGCGCAGAATGTTCGAATCACCATCGTAAAACCTTGGACTTTTTATACTTTGTCACTCATTATCGCGCAGACACCTCTGCTTACCACTTGATTGGCGTCCTTTCTTTTTATTCTATCCCTGCAACGCTCCCTCTATATCGTGCTGTCAGCACTCTTGACACACACTCTGTTTATACCACTCTTTTGTATCATATATTGATTTTTCAAATACAAATGTATATATTTATATATGCATCAACTATGCATTCTATTCATTATTATAAAGACCATTAAGAAACATGTATTATGTAAATCATGGAATAAATATACACACATCCACACATCTTTACTTAATTCAAGTACCTTTTGTCATTGTGATTAATACTGGCACTGATTAATAGAAGCTGCAGGCCATTAAGAAATTAACCTTTAAATAAGAATGTGCCTATACGAATCATCATACTCACCTTGTATACCTGTCACTCTACTTGTAAGCGCTGAATATAAAGTTAAACATTATGACTTTCCAAAATGGGTGTCGATCATTTCCTTTCCTTTTTGTTCAAGTGCCGCAGGGCAGTTGTTCAAAATTCAGACGGCTTAAACAAACTTTTAAAGGATGATGCCAGGAAAAAAGAAAAAAAAAAAAAAACCAGCTAACAAGCAGTCTATCGGGAGTCTAAGATAAAAAAAATCAGATGCTATAGAGACCAGCTCAAAGTCAGTTAAAAAAAAGGCGCAGTTACTTTTCATATTGTGAAGTTTTTAGATCCAAAATCACAACAGGGCGTTGTTCTTTGGCTTTCATCAAAATTAAGACAAAATATTTGCCTTAAAATTAAGGCAGCAATTCTCTTTCATTTGCCCGCAACTACAACTTCATATCTCTCTCCACCTTTAATGTAGACGCATACATTCAGATTTTTGGTTATGTAAGGAGAGCATGTTACATATTTCCTCTCTCCCTCTTAAGCTAGAGCTATTTATTAGTATAGATGTACCAATACAAGAAAGATTGGAGATTCAGAGCAAGATGTGCATACAGTCATTATGGTATCTGCAAAGAAATGATCAACAAAACAAAAACATACATGCAAGTTCATGACAGCAGTGTGTATATGGGTCTGTTTCAATATAAAGGAGAAGCAATTTCTTTCTTTTTCTCTTTTTTCTTTTTTTACACAAATGTAAATCAAATGTGTTATTCTTACTATTTGTGCTTCTCTTGCTACTATTGGCTTTGCTACATCTCTTGTTAATATTCATCATATTATTGGAGGTAGAGAGGCTAGCCGCCTTTACATAAAGCCCAGGGGAAATACTCTTGAGAGGCTTCCTGAGGTCGCAGTGGTCTCTAATCATGTTCATGTTACTTGAAGTAGCCCAATGTTTTCAAAGTATAACATATATCAATAAACTTTATGGCTCTTTTTACACACCATATATTTTCAATGTTTTTGTTTCAACCTATCATTAATAAAGGCAGATGGACTTTATTTTACAGAAGCCAAGTAAAATCACAAGTAAAGTACTATGAAAGTAAGTAGTCATATAAACATTAGCGTAGTGTGAAATAACCTATTCATATTCAACAATAGCAGCAATGCAGTCACTTGATGAAAAAGAAAAAAGAACGCTTGTATATTTATTTACATCATAAAATATATCTGTCAAAGAAAAAGAAAAAAAAAGGGTATTTGAATAAAGACGAAGAGTGGAATAATAATAAAGTAAAAGCTTCAAAGGATCATCTTATGTGGCTCTTTCTTTTCCTTTCACTTTTTGTGTAGTTTCTTGAGCTTCAGGATTACCATGCTGACATACAGCGCATTCTTCCATCTTATCAAGTTGACGCTCCAAACACTCTACATGAAAACTATGTCCACAGTGAAATACGACATACTTTTTGTTCTCGCGCGCTTGTTCTTCAGTATCTAGACCCCATGCCAATGGTGGCTGCAGTAATGAAAAATCTAGAATATTAGAGCTACATATCTCGCATATGGCTCTGCTCGGTCGCCATCCTTTGCCTCTCTTGTTCACCATATCTTGTAAGCTGGTGAATAAATCACGATCAAACAGGTGGTTTGTCATCTCTAGAAGCTTTCCTTCATATTTATACGTGTCCAACATATTTAAGAATATATCCCTAAAGTCAGCAAACGTGGTTTCTCCTCTCGACTGTGAGTCAATCAACCGTAGTAAAAGACGAGGAAGAGATACTTGTGGTGAAGTTGAGATCAAAAGAGCTGTTAGAATTGATTGAACAAAGGACTTGAAGGAAGAAACAATCCTCTGGTGAGGCTCTGGAGGCGCTGGATTGCTTGCAAGTGCGTTATAGATTTCAATAGATGCTTCAACATACGTGTCTAACAATCTGAACCATAATAATTCAACTTCGTCATTTATATGCTCCTCTTCATTGCCCATTGTTGATTCTTCTGTTGTTGAGCTATCTTCTCCTTCTCTACTCAATTCAGGTATACTGTTTTCTTCGTCTCTATTGTTGTATTTCGAAACAGGAAATGTGCTCTTACTACTGTTTTCGCATAGTCTAATGCTAACTCGCAACACACCATTTAGTCCTATTAAACAGCTGTTGATCGTACTTTGTTCTTCAAATGTCCAAGTAGTCCCAGATTGATGATTCTTTAGCAAATAAATGACAGTCGCATTTCGTTCTTTAGCAACTTCCAACATCTTTTCTAATGCCCCTTGAGTATCACCACTCTTTTCCAAAATCCATACTACTGCATCCATCACACCATGCTTTTCACAGCTTTCTTTCACTTTGTCCAATGAGACGTTATCACCAAGCTTGGTATTGAAATAGTTGTACACGCCTGAAGGGTCAAAACGACACATTAACTCAATGTATCGCTCTTGAATAGATCCGCTCACTTCAGGAACCTGCTTCACAAAGCCTTCCTGTTCTTCAACTTCCTCAGAGTATGGCTCTAATAGTCCTCGTAAATAAGAAAATAGTCGTTTATCAGCGGTAGCATGATGTTCGTCGTCATCAAACTCCTGATCTTCTTCCAAACGACGAATAGCATCCTCATGATCTCCATTTCCAAACACTTGAACAACTTCTGCTGTCTTTTGTCCATCAATCTCCACAAATTGTGAAATACGGATCATGAATACTCGCATGACTTCTTCCTTTTGCCTATCCTCTAGATTGCTCGTCAGCAGATCATGAACACAATCAAACACCATGCTACGTCTTTCATCATCCTTCAAGTAGGCTTCCACAAGCTTGCCATACTTTTTGTCTCTACGGTACACATCTTCAAGGACCTTCCAGAAGCCAGCCTCTTCATAAAGTTTAACAATGTGTTCTTCGTTCGTTGGCGTATACACCGTTAACAGGTTTTGGACAGCTCTTTCTCTTTCCGAGCGTGTATCCTCATCATGTTCTTCTGCTAATCGTACTAGTATCTTGTTAAGTGTTTTTGGTGGCAACAGGATAAACGTGGTGTATTTATGCAAGTTGGAAGCAATAAAGATGTATAGTAGGATGATGTTATCGTTTGAAAAATAAGTAAAGTGGCTGTTGTAATCATTGGCTATGGACGTATTCACTTGAAGAACAGGCGGCGTTGGCCTACCATTAGTTGTAGTAGACTGCACTGTAGAAGCTGAAATAGATTGCTTTGGTCTAGGTGGAGGTAGACTATTTCCCGTGAGCCCGCCGCCAACAACATCCAAAAGCGTATTAACAATGATTTGTCGAGAGATAACTTTGCCAGGCACCTCATCTTCAAATTTGGAGCTAAGAATATCTTCTCCACCATTAAGCCAAGGGTCTTCAAAAGCAACTTCTAAAGCTTCCAAGAATTTTTTTGTATTGAACCTTAAAAGCAGGCGCAGATATGGGTAAGTAGGTTCTGACACGCCTTCTTCATCATCTGCTGTTAGAACCAATTTACCACCTACGGGCGGCCACACAACACAGCGACCAGAGAAAACAAATGAATAGACAGCACTTCTTGCTTCGCTCGCTTCAGTTGCTTCATCAGCACCAGTTATAGACGAGCCTTCAGGGAAGGATCTTCCGGTGAGAATTAGCTGGAGATAATGAAATATCTTTTCTGCGTTTTGTCTTGCATGTAATGTTTGTTGATCTTCTTGGTTACCACGCAACACGCTTTTTATAACCTTTAACATTTCTACCAAGGGACTTACGTAATCATGCATGCTTTTGTTCCAGACGTACATCATGGCTTCATACATTCCTTCACGATGGCACATGCTTACTATTTGATCAATGTCTAAACTACGAGGATTAACATGCCAAATGACCTGCTCGAGCTCATCTATCAATCGCTTTTTACTGTAATGGTCGACAAGGTCTTTCATAACTGAAGGAGGGACATCAGGCAGACGGTCCTGGGTGATGCATGGTTCGAGTACCTCCAAAAAGATACCATTGACTTGATTTTCTACAAATCGTTCATAAACAGTTTCAAACAAAAATTCCAAATTGTCCATGCTTATGCATGCTTCTATGCAACCTCGAGCCAAGTCATGCATTAGTACTGTCTCACCACCGGATATTTCGTTTGCCATGTCATTATAAGTGCGTTTAGAAGAGAATGTATAATTCAGCGATGCTTTCAAGAGCTCCATTAATTTCTCGCCTACAAGCGCCTTTCTTGATTTCTCTTCTTCAGGTAAACCAATCACGGTCTGCATGTCTGTACCGTTATAGAATGAAGTAGCGAGTTCAATGCTTTCCAAAAAATCTCCTGCTCGAACAAGTGCTAGTATGCGATCTGCCCAGGATAACAATGTGCCCACATAGATTTGCTGAAGACCCTATATATAAAAAGATATAAGACACTCCTTTTTTTTTTGCAAATAGACATTTTTCTCTCTCTTTTTGAAATTACCAGTAAGAATATCTTTCCCTTATAGCTCTTGATTGAGCCAAAGTATGCCATCTCTACTGATTTTAAGACATTGTTTTCAGATGAATCTGCAGTCATGATTGCCGCATCAGTAACTAACTCTTTTAAAGGAGTATTAAACCAGTCATGATACACCAATTGTTTGGTTCTCAAACTTGAATGCTGTGTTTGCATCATGTTTTTGGGGTCAAACAGGATCATGTCTTCATTGGGGGTGAACAATACAAGAATCTATCATTATATGAGCAAAAAAAAGTAAAGCAATACAAAAACATATAGTTGTCATTTTACCTGTCTATTGATCCAATGAATACTCACAATCGACTCCTTACTCTTCCATTCCCCAATTTTGACAAATTCTAGTGTCACGCCCCGCTTTGTAGGCTTTGCATTAAGACGAGCCTTTTGATTTGTCTTGGTTACTTCATTGTTTTCGACACAAACACGAAGTATAAACAGATGATTTCCCCAAGCAAAGGCGAGGACAGGGTCGTTCGTATGGCTGTTTCCTGATTTAATAACTGGTAACCAAGCTAGAGCGCCTGATAGGCTCTCAACTGGTGCCTTCGAACCACTTTCTATTGGTTGCTTGGAGTTCTTTGGTTTCAAGAATTTGTGCAAGGTTTGTGGTGTAGGTTTTAATCCAACGATAATCATCTAATCACCCACATAAATATGCGACTTTTTTTTTTTTTTTTTTGCTATTCTTACCTTATAAGGAGTCAACAATGCAACAAGTCCAAAATTCTCTGCTGGATGAGCTATTTGACCAAGAGGTAAAGGTTGCATAGCAAAGACAGTACTTGGTCTTCTTGGTTTTGATGGTCGAAGGTGGCTTGTTGCGAGGGACAAGTTTTGGTACCGACCGAGGATACGTGTTGAATCTACACCATTGATCATGATCATTTTGTATGATACATGATAAAATGCCATGCCTTGATCATCAGCAGAGACGATCTCTGACTTCTTTACCCCCACAAAGCCTACATGTAAAATAGATGCTCCCTGAATATGTCCTTCTTTTCGTGGAGCTGTCTGTTGCTGAGAGAGTATCTGGCTGGCGGGAATAGGGTCGATAGTGCGTATGGGCTGCATTGGTTTTCTGATATCCCAAATAACGATATGTCCTTGAGAATGACCACAGGCAATGGTGGTATGATCTGCAGATATAGCTAAAGAAGTAACTGAGCCTATTTCGATGGCTATATATGTATATACTGAGTATACAAATATAGTGCATTATGTTTGTTTTTATTTGTTACCTCTATTACTGTCTCCCAGAATACATTTCAGGTTTTGAGTATAGTCATAAACAAATACTAAACTACGTGTAGTACCAATTGCAATCACACCACTTACAGCCATGACAGAGATGAGCCCACTCTCCTGCTTGATAGCATCAGAGTAGAGTTGATCCGATACCTTGACAAGTGGTGTCCATTTGAATGCTTCCCATGGTTCGCTTGGTTCCTCATTGATGATAAGATCCGAAGAGGCAAAGGAATCATTTTGTGTGTTGTTAGTTGTTATAGAAAGTTGAGAAGAAGCTGGACGGGGAGATGACGTTAAGAAGGGTGGAACGCCTGTCCTGGGTGTTGACATTTCGGAAGGTGAATCCTAAAGATGGCATTAATTTTGATATGGGAAAAAAAAATCAGGAGCTTACAAAGTGTAGTAAAGTAGAGTCAGTGTCCAAAGTGTTATCTTCGATATCTGAGCTATCTGACTCATTCAAGATGCTTTCAAGGCTTAGATAGTTTGCTAATAGAAAGATGAGTAAAAAGACAGATAAGAAATACTGTCACTTACCCTTTTTTACAAATTCTTCATAAAGGCCAATCTCTTTTGATACATCGTCAAGTAAATGGATTACTTTTTGCTTCTTCTTTTCGCCAATGATGTTTGTATTTTTAACAAGTGGTCCACCATTTAAATGAATATATAAATCATCTCTAATCTTGTATAGTTCATTAAGTCTCGTTTGAATAACTGTATCAGATACAACAGGTAAATCTAATTCGGGAATGATAAGCGCATGAAATCTCTGTTCTAATAGCGTCAAGGAAGGTACACCATTGATAAGCCGAGTGTGGTAAGGTATAGCATCTAATACTTTAGATAAAGGGTCAACTCGTTCAAACGGTTTAGGCGATAATAATGGTTGATTAAAGGAAGCTTGAAGAGGCGTGTTTGGTCTAAAAGATGTTAATTTATATGAGCATAAAAACCTAAAATACTTACATAGAATAGTCGCCCTTCCCACTTGTGATGGAGTTTACAGATTGAGACCGACGATGACTCATAAATGTCTTCAAATTAGCCAAATATTTATCGGCAAGTGAACGATCTTCTAAAGCAGCTCGCAAGTCTTCTGGTAATTCGGCAGTGGCTGTATCAAGGTCGATTTCTATATTGTTCAATAAGTCTTCGTCATCGTCTTCTGAGCTTTCTTCAAGCACTTCTTTCAACAAAGTTGCATAGTCCCTTCGAAATCGACTTGTGTTTGCACTAACACTTGGTTTCATTTCGGGTATTGGTTTATTTTCATTGTTCGAGTTCATCACACTTTAAGTAAAAGAAAGGAGAAAAAAGAGAGAGAGAGAGGTTGGCTATCCTTCTTTTTATATATATGTGAATATATATGTATGTGGAGTGTGTATGCGTGGGGTTTAAAGAGGGAAAAAAAAAAAAGAAGAGGTACAAAAAGTGCCTCCGTATATATTGCAGCAACGCGGAGCACAAACAAAACCGTCGTACAGTCTTTTGAATCTAAAATTAGACGGTTGTAAAAACCGTTGGTCATGATAGACCGTCTTTCTTTTACAGTGTAAAATGTAAAACTGCAATCAAGCAGCATGACACAGAAATAAAGCTGATGGAATGAATGAAAACAAGTGTGTAATAGTCTTCTTTCTTGAGTTATGATTGGATAAGATATTGGCTGTCCAAGACTGTGCTAAGAATTTTGATTTCCTCAAAGTGGTACATTAGTCATTTGTAGAATTTCATGCAAATGGCAGTAACATGTTTCCTGCAAGTATAGTTGGAAAAAGCACAACCCAGGCGGAAATTTTGAAATGCCTACTCCTGCAGCTTTTTATGAGACAATTAGACAAAGTAGGCTCTAACGTTACCCGAGTGGAGATAGTCATCTGCTCTGTTGCGCCGGGATAGTTTAACATTATGGCTTCGTCAACTCAAAAGAAGACATGAAGTGCCAAAAAAAAGACCTTGATGTATGAGAAAAAAGCGCGACGCAAAGGAGCCTTTACCGTTTCAATTTTACGTTTCATTGTAGCATAAGAACTTGAATCAGAAGCCTTTGATACTTCTAATTCTATTTCTTGGCGTTCTTCGTTCATCTTTTTTTCTTTTCTTTTCTTTAAAAAATCGTGTCTCTCGGCTTTGTTTGGTAGAAATTTGCACATTTTCTTCAGATCAGTGATTCTGTTTTATTTCTTTTGGAAGGCAGTAATTGCTGCTTCTGCAGTCATTCTGGTATATGATTATTTGTAACTTTTGTGTTTGTTGTAGCTCTTTCAACATCAAATACATCTGTAAGAAAGCTTTTACAGTAAAGTTAACCTTCAGAGGTCTTTAGCTTCGTGTCTCCGCTAAAATTATAAATAAAAGTAATGCTGTAATTGGCTGTGCCTTGATGGAGTGGTGCTTTAAAAAATGTTTAGAACACCCCGTCGTTCCTGCAGTAGAACCCCGAAGGAATACTCGTGTAATGAGCACTTACAAGATATGATAACGAAAGAAATGACGTGTAAACACACCCTAATAGGCATGAGTATTTATTTAGAGCATCAAATTACTTATAACAAATGCCAGGATATACATAAAACTTGGGGTTTAATTCATGAAGGGCATAAACAACAAAAAAATAAGGCGTCTTTTATATTAGGTAGTAGTTGACGAACTGGCCTTGAGCTGAACAAACGCGGCAGCAGCATCAGGATCAAGGTTGTAATTCTTGCGCTTGGATGATAGCTTTCTACCAGTGGTTGATGACCTCTTCAGCTTGGTTGTACTAGGTACAGGGCTATTTTCAGGGTCTCTCTTGAGCCAATCATAAGAAGGTACAGTTGCGCTTTTGGCTGAAGGTGTGATTGTTTGCTTATTACTAATAGAGGTGTCAAGCCTGAGTCCCTTCTCCTGAAATTGAGTTTTGTATCTTCTATCTTTTGGCTTTGACATAGAAGGTTCGGGTGCTATCGACGACTTGCGCTCAGGCAATTTTGTTTCTTCCTTTACTGGCAATACTTTCTCATACTGTTCTTCAAAAGAATCCTCTTCGTCATCAAGAGATAGAATATAGCTATTTTCGTTTGCATTTGATATTAAAGCATAATCAACCTCGGTTGGGCTTTCGGGTGAAGTAATAGCTATGGCATATCTGTTGCTATCGACATTACTATTGCTTTCGCTGAAGCCGTATTCAATGTCCCCTGTGATAGCAGAATTGTTATGCAAATCTTTGTTTGCAAATATGTCATTGTAATTCAGTATTAAATCTTCCAATACACAATCCTTTGCCCATTCACCAGGTGAGCTTTGTGCTTGATTCAAGTCTTGAAAGATGGCTGGTGTAAATATTAATGTCAGATTACTGATTGTCATTTTGTTCTTCTCAACGCGAGATTGAATTCTATGGATGGATGTTATTAACGCTGGTTTCATAAGCACGATGCTTTTTACCTTGCTAAATGTGCTATAAGTGCCTTTAAGGTGTCATAATTGGCTGCAGGCAATTTTATTAGTCTGGTTAATAAATTCATCAATCTCAATTCTTGATCAGGGATTTCTATATCACTTTAGGTTAGGTTTATATCACAAAGCATTTTTAATAGAGATACTTGCGTGAGTAAATGAGTCGTTCATCCAATTTGAACGGAAACAATGGTGTCTTTAGTTCTCGTAAGAATACTTTTATAATAGAAGCTATGCTAAAGATATCCTCAGGTACATCATTTTGACCAATGACAACTGCTTCTTCGTCTCTCTCAAAGGCATGTTTTATCTTTTCCATGCTACTTTGTTTCCCAGGTACACGATAGATGCCTTCTTTCTCCAGTCCACCCAAGTTCTCGATTGCCTCAATACATTTTGTGATCAGAATTGGTGGAGACCTGCCTCTTTGTTGAGCATACTCGGTTAAAGTCGTACCAAAGATCAAGTCTAATGTATAGTGTGTTAATCTCTTTGTAATATTCTCAATTTCAACTTACCTTTGCATTCACCAACATGATGGTTTCTGTAGTAAACGGGTGTAGGCTTTGGGTATTTTTGAAGCAGAGATAAACTTGCATAATGCTCAGATTCAGATTGAGTATCTGTAGTGACAACCAGATCGAGCATTGACTTTAAAGGCTATAGGGAAATTAGAGTACGTAATCTAGACTGCATTTTGCTACCTTTTGTGTTTGTTGCAGCTGCTCGATATCCGCCTCTAAAGCAGTCTTTAGGATATCTTTCACTCGGCTTGATTTCTCCTTCAGTGAGCTTTGAACTTGCCTTAGAATATGCTGATTCGTTGCATCCATTTTGATTGCTAGGTTGCTGACTTCCCGTACTACATTTCGATAATTTGTATCTACGGCAACACGGTTATGTTTTAATACAAAAAAAAAAAAAAAGAATTCCTTGCAACATACCGGCTTCAGCAACCTCCACTTTTAGTTTAGCTATACGAATGTTCTGTCTTGTCGGGTCCTCCTGTTTATTTAAATGCTTTTTCATGAACCTCTCGATTCTACCTTGTTGCGTTGGTGGCGAAGAGGGCGATATTTGGTTTTCACCTGTATTATTATTATGATTAGACTCACTTGATGACGTCTCTTCATTTGTTAATTCCTTCTTTAATATAGGAAATGTAGCAGATGGAGTATTTGGTGTGGCGATCATTGGAGTTGATATCGATAGACCTGTTGATTTTTCAATTTCCTCCCATTTTTGAGTATAGATTTGCTGCACTTTGGGAAGCTTTTTTAATCTGTTCATCAAGTATTCTTGATTTGTTTGATGCATCCAGTATTTGTTTTTATCATACATTCGCTGTTGTTCATTCTTTACTTAAAAGTGAGCACACACATAAGAAATGATGATAGCTGATATACTTGCCCTGAACTTCTTTAGCTCTTCCAGTTGTTCTTTCATCTTTTTCAAATACTGTTCTCTAAATGGTTTATACTGATCTGTTATATCGACATAACTCAAAAAGCATTTCTGTAATCCAATGGCGTTTTCCTTATTAGGTATTGCCTGCACATCTCCTGTAAGCTTTAAAAGATCTGCAAGATATCTCTCTTCTATTATGATCCTGATTCAAGTATAAATATGATGTTGATCTTGATATTTTTAGGGTTACCTTTGACTGATATACTGAATGATATAATCAAGGTCTCTAATAACTAAATTCAATGCTATAGCATCGATATGTTGTGAAGGTGCCAAGACCATGTCCATCAATATCTTGGCCTGCCCTGAAGTCTATACTAGAGTTTATCTATACACTTGTAGTTGACACTTTTTCTTTTTGTTAATGTACCTCATCGTTTGTTGTTATCGGTGGTACTTTTGTACGAAATCCTTTCTTGTTTGTTGCATTCATGTAGATTATATGAAAAAGTAATTAAAAGAGAAAAAGAGAAAAAGTAAAAGATGGGGAATATTAATTTTGCTACACAAATGTGTGACAATGAGCTAAACTTTATTATTGTTGCTGTTCTATTTGCTTTCTTCTAGAGGCTCTTCTTTCTATTTCGGCTTTCTTCATGTATTTCTTGAATTCAAATGTAGGATCGGGTTGAACGAATGGGTGTTCTAACAGTTGCTCAGCAGTGGGTCTTTCTTCAGGATTACTATTTTATAGTAATATTTAATCTATCTTGTCACAATCATGGTTTTTTAGTACTTACATTGTAAAGCATTTGTTGAGGAAGTCCCTTGCATCTTCTGTGATATCTTCTGGTATAGGTGGTGCTTGATATTTACCAAGCTATTTTAAATCCAGTGAGTACTCTTTTATATCTGTATGTGTGTATATTTACATTATAGAGTGCAGCCAGCATGTTTAGGTCCAGCCATGGGTGACTTCCTGTCAGCATCTCAATCACTGTACATCCCAAGCTCCAAATATCAACTTTTGCATTATAGTTTGTTCCTTTGACAACTTCAGGTGCCATCCAAAACACGGTGCCTCTCATGACCGAATTATTCGAGTGAGGATCATACGCTTTATCTTGTCCGCTTAATTTAGATAAACCAAAATCAGTAATCTTACAGATACCATTTTCATTCAACAGAATGTTGCCCGCTTTAATATCCTAGTAAGGGGACATCAGCGTATGTATGTACCACATTATGTTTTATCCTTACTCTGTGTAAAATATTGCGATTGTGTAAATAAGCAAGTCCAAGAAGTATTTGTCGTGTAAAGAACTGAACGAGAGGAATTTCAAACTTTCCTGTTTTACCAAGACAGGAAGCAATGCTTCCACCGGGAACGTATTCTAAAAAGATATTGATATGCCCTTCTTCTTCATCCAAGTTATAGCCAAGGTACTGTACAATATACTCATTATCCAAATCTTCTAATAAAGAGATTTCCCTAAATAATGCATCCTTCATTTCCTTCATTTGTGGGTTGGCATAATCTGATTTGGTTGTTGGTATATCGACTTGCTTCACTGCTATCCACTCTCCCGCTTCAACATTTAAAGCGTGATATACTCGACCAAAGGAACCCTTTCCGATCAATTCACCACGGATCCACTGTAACTTTCTTGATTCTACATGTAAAAAGATAAAGATAAACCGCCTTTTCCTCCTTTTTTTTATCTAGAAAAACTTACTTGGTAAATCTCCAGATTGTTGAATGTTTGCCTTCATACCAGGCTTTACTTGTTCAACAGCACGATGCCACATCTTTGTACTTCTTCTCCTAATCAGATTGTTGGCCCTCACCACATTGATAGCGTTTCTCCAATTTCGATGCGCTTCATTGACAACATTACGAATGGACTTTTTATGGCCCTGAAGCTTTCTACCGGGTGGTAGAGCACTTACCATCACGGGTGTAGGCTCAATAATGATTTCCCGATCAAGATCATGACCAGGAAGATACTTTTCAATGTCTTTGTAGAGCCGTTCAACCGAAGGACGTTCTGCCCAATTATCTTCGTCACTATCTACTGCAGTAACAGTAGGAGAGGATGAAGACGGTGCAGGTGAAGTGCTTCTGGCTGTAGTATCTACACAAAGTTCATTCTTTTTAGATTCATTAAGTGACATATGCTCCATAGTATCCTCAAGTGCATTAGGAGCACTTGCAATGCTTGTGTTGGATGTCCTTGATGGTTCATCAGGATTGGTTTCAGACAAGAAATGAACAACACGCGGCAATGGCTTTTCAGTCGTCTTATTTTCGTCCTCTTGATTGTCTGTCTTGGCTGAAATACTAGGATGCAAGTCAATATTTTCTGCACTAAACTGTTGCTCTACACTCTCGTTGTCGTTGTTGTTATCTTGAGCTTTTGGAGGTACAGCCCAAAGAGAAACTGCGGGTGTATTGGGCGGCGCCGCCCGTGCAGAGGCTTTTGCACCAGAACTGTAGCTGTTGACCACTGTTGCTGAATCGGATGAACTGCTCGAATTCGTCTTTGTTAGGTGGGGAGCATCCGCCTTGCTCAACTTGGGTGATACTGCCCATAAAGAAGGACCTGTCGTATCCTCCTGTGATTTCTCGGACGGTGGCACAGCCCAGAGCGATACAGGCTTCTGAGCTGTTACCTCTTCGGGCTTTTTGGATGGAGGAACCGCCCAGAGTGATGGTTGCTCTGCTGGACGGTTAGAAGGAGGCACAGCCCATAACGAAGGCTGCTTCTCTGGTTGTGGGGTATCTTGATGCAATGGCCATAATGCATTAGGATTGTTATCAGCTGTTGTTTCAGAGGTCTGAACGGGCCAAAGGTTGGTATTTTGCTGGGAATAATGATTATTAGTATGCGTCTCTGTAGAAGAAGTGCTGCTTCTTTGAGATTGTGTGGTCCATGTTGGTGGAGGGGGAAGGCTTTTGTTGTCTATAGTATTCAATTTATATACATGACTCAATAAAAGAAAGGGGGGTTTACTTACTGTTCTTGTCGAAATAGTCTCTAATATTAGTATCCAAATTTTCTTGAGGAGATGTAGCCATGGTAAATTGACCATTGACGTTAACAGGAGATGTGATTATGTTATCATAGTCATTATTATAATAATGTTGATTATTTGGCCTAATGATAGAAAATATTAGTCTGAATAAACCAATAATTCAAAGGGAGTACCTTTGATGTTGAATAGCAAAATCATAATACTTTGTACCATCTTTTGAGTACGACTTGTAATGCTCCAATATAGGTTTTACTAATATTCTATTTGTTGAACTATGATCAGAGATTTGACAGATATAAGAAAGTTCGTTATCCGTTAATGGTACGTCTATCCATCGTTAGTTTTCACACACGCATTATATTTATTCCTATTAACCATACCTGAATTCTTTCCATTCTCATGAAAGAACAAGTATCGATCACAACCACCCTCTATGCCCAACTTCCTCAAAATAGAGTTCTTGATCAAACGAGGATCCCGCATGCCGGTTACTTGCAAACTGTGAAACGTATCCGAGTCTTTTGTTACATGTATACTCTGCTGATGTTCCTATTATTTATAAATATCAATAAATAACAAATGTAATCCTGTATTTACTGTCGTATTTGGACCCGGTCGTCTTCTAACCATTCTCCATTGACCCTCACCCTCCAATCTTGGGCTTATTGGATAACGAGGGACATTGGTTGAAAAGGCTCTATTATTTCTTGCTACTGCTGCACTGATAGGAGGTATGTTGAATGTCTTTACCCAATCCAGTACATGTTCGTTATTTGAAGATTTTCTCTCGGGTATCAATGGTACTTTTGAATCCTGAGTTGGTATATATCGAGGCGTATTATTATTATTGTTGTTATATCGTATGGTTCGACTATAAGTGTATTCTTCGGCCTATTACAGATAGGTTACAAGGTTACAGCCTCAATTTCTTTTTTTAGCTTTTTTTTGTTTACGGGTCGAAGTGTTTTAATGGCATGTGCAAGTCTACGTCTATCAGACATTGTTAGAGGAAAGTCTCCCTTTAATGTCATCAAGAAGGGTAAATCGACATCCAAAAAGGCTCTTCCACAAATCTGATTCGCTTTTTCATTAAAAATAGAATATGAGCGATCACGCACATGACTATAGTTTATTCATATACCTTTAAAGACGTCAATTGCAGGTTGAAAGTTATTTACTTCGAGCCAATGAACAACCCGATCCATCGTCCACTGCTCGTCATTTGTGTCCATCATTTAAAAGAATGTCTTATTTGATCGTGTATTTGAACAAGAAAAAAAAAAAAAAAAAAAAGAGCATGCTTTTTCTGTTGATACACACATTTCAAAAATAGTCCCGCTCAGATGATTGAAATTGATTCGCTCCTTTTTGGGTAATTTCCCCCTTCTTTTATTAATTGCCAGACAAAGCATCATCATTATTTGTAGGAAAGTTGATAGCTTCATGATCATGTCGGCATTCCCATAAGCTTAGCTGATACAGAGTGACAACTACGAGTAGATGTAACAATAAAGAATAAACAATGAAAAAGTATCTTGACCATTTATGTGAAAACAGGACGCGTGTAAGCTTGAGGGTTAACTTTTCAGCAGGATTAAGCGCGTTGTACCGACGAATCTCTTCCTATAGTAGAGTTATAGCTTTTTGTTTTGCTTTGTATGCTTAATTACCTTTCTATGAAATTGCGTGAATGGGTTCATACTCTCTTCATATAATCTGCTATATTTATCAGCAGGATCGTCAGATAGTTTGGTTCTTTTAAATTGTCTCATTGACGGTATCGTTGAAGATTCACTGCCCATATTAAGAGCAATCGAGTCATTTCTTTCCTGTTGCCCCTCTTTCCAAACATGAACAAACTTGAGTCTTTCATACAGCTTCAAATTATCTGATTTTAAGCTGCTCACTTCCATATTAGCTTCTTGTAAAGCAGTCTCCAAGGATTTTAAACGCTCTTCTAGTTCGGCATTCTTTTGTCTAAATCTGTCCCGTTGACTCATCACAATGGGCAAAATGCTCTTGTCTTCTCGTATACTTTCTAAGCTCTGTCGAGGCGTATGCTCTGTTGTTAGGGTAGCAAGATTTGTGCTTGACCCATTTCTACTAGCTGTAAACGTATCAGGTTGATCTGTTTTTTGACCAAGTCGAAGTAGGTCCTCCTCCAATCGTTGAACAAGCTTTGTTTGCTCTGCTATTTTCGTATTCAGTTCTTCGGTTAGCTTTATATTCCTTTCATTCTCTTTCTTTATATCTGCATAAGACACTTTCATCTGGGTATATTCACTCTCAAGACGCTTGTTTTTTTCCATCAACTGAACTTCCAAGCTATCCTTAGTCATCTCTTTCTTGAGCACATCGTTTGCATCAAACTCATCTTCTCCCGTAGAGAATTCAACATACTACATACGTTTGTTCTAGTTGCTCCAACCACATAAACACACTCTCTTACCTTCATAATCTGCAATTCTCGTTTAATTTCATCGTAATCATCAAAGTTCTTTAGCTTGCTTCTAAGCTGCTCATTTTCCTCGCTCTATATTTATGGATGTTAGGATACGTTAAATTAAAGATATTGTTTTAAAAAAGAGATTATTACTAGCTTTGTAACATCCACTGTCAATTCCTTTATTCTTGTTGATAATCTGGATTCTGTCTTTTGGAGTATATCTCTGTAGGCATCCACATCTTTGATCAACTTTGATATTTCTGCATCATGTTCTAATTGACTTTTTTTTTTTTGTCATGTTAGAACTCTTTTTATCTTCATCATCCAGTGTACCTTTCTGCTACTACTTCAGTCTCTGAATTTGTTACATGGCTCTCTTTTAAGTCATCCTAATAGGTCGAGTTCAATAGGCTGTATATGTTTGTATTATATCTTTTTTTACAATTGTTTTTTCCAGCTGAATAATCCTAGCATTGGCTCGTTCTAAATCCATTGTCACAATATCCAACTCGGCCAATTTGCCTACCACTTCTTCATCTATAAACATAGGCTCGGTCAATATATGGATAAGATGTGGTGAATATAAACATGCCATATTTTTGACTATGTCCAATTAATTGAGCTTGCGTGTCATCATGCGACTGTTTGAGTTGAGTGAGCTGATCAAGTGCTTGGTTCAATTGTTGTTGTAGGTCATGCTCACTACAAAAGAAAAGAGATAAGCATGATAACAAGTACTGTCTATACTACCCACCGTTCTTTATACTGTCGTATCCTATCATTATACTGATCTCTTATTTCTTGCTCAATTGTATTTGCGTCCCTCTTTTCATTCAACTATACAAAAAATGATGAATAAATGCATAAACTATACCAAATTCATACTGATGACAATTTTTGAGCCAACTCTGTATTTGTTCTTTCTGAATCTGCAAGTTGTTTATTGGCTTTATCGAGCTGCTCTTTTAATAATGAGTTCTCGTTTTGTAATACTGAATTGTCTACTATTTTAGCACTTTGATCCTATAAAACAAAAGGTTACTTTTCTTTTTTCCGTTTGAATAAATAATGATATTACTATGGCAGCCTCAAATAATGGAGCTGGATCAGGTGCGTCTGCCAATAATTTGTAAATGGACAGAAAGCTGCTTTCTGAAAACTTGGTACGTTTAGTGATGTTGTCAATTTCAGCTTGATAAGCTAATGTATATAAAAATGTCAACAACATGCTTATGGATGATGCATCATTTACCTTTCAAGAGTGGCTTGATCTTTTGCAGTTTCTCTTCATCGGGAATCTTTTTAAATTCTAAAACAAGTTGAGTTTATTATTCATGTATTCGCGCGTCGTTGTAACCTCTTGTCTGTTCAGCTAGTCTTTTTCTCGACACAAGACCGTCCTTTTGGTTTTCAACAATAGTCAAGCCTTGTTGGTCAAGTTCTTTTTGTAAGTTGGATAGTTGTATCTTTTTCCAATAATCTATGGCAGAACTAAAAGTATCGACACTCATTAATAATTAGAAAAGAGAGAAAGAAAAAAAAAAAGTGACCCTGATTGAACTTGCTGATTTTAAATTGCGCATAGGTACAATGCAACTTGTATAGATTACATCAAGAAAAGAAAGGAGTCATTCAAAAGAATAAACAAGTGATATATTCTAACTCGGGTTATATTACATATATGCTTTCATTTCATTTCTTGTCTTCTCTCCTTTTGTTCAAATCAGTTAGGTTCTTCTTTTTTATCTTTCGCAAAAAGTAAAACGGCTCATTAAACTCTCTTGCTCTACCAAAAGGAGATGAATAAGCACAATATATAAAAGGTAAATCTAGACACTATTGCCAAAAAGCATTAAATCAGTTCTGATCAAGCGAATACGAAACGCAACATGGCTGGACAATGTTACAAAAGAGTCTGCTATTAAAAAGGTTCGTGGCTAGATTTGGCATGTATCTAATGCCTTACCCTTTAAAGCAAATGTTTTAGCCTGTTATGATGCAGACGTCTACCGGATACAGTACCTTTGCCCCGGATGAAAGCTCGCCACATGATATTCATAGATGTATGCAGGGATTAAAAACGGGTTTTGGTACTTTTTATGAAAATGATAAAGCAGTAAACCAGTGGATCATGCGCACTTATTGGAATACGTTAAACAGAGCATTGAGCTCAACTGAGTAGGTAGGAGTAACATGCCCACAGGTGATCAATGATTTCAATCTACTGTCTAAGAATAGTGCAAGTTCTGAAAGGTACAAGTATTCACTTGACACTTGCTTATTTCTTTACGTAAAAGTGGCCCACTTTGATCAACTGATAACATAAAATTAGAATAAAGAAATAACAACATTTCTTTTTATCTCTTCTTGAAAAGAAACAAAACAAGTCGGTAGCTTTATAAAGCCATGCTTAGTGCGACGCCACACACTCAAAAGCTTTGTTGGAAGGCATCATAGGTAATGGGTAGATATAGCGCCCGTAGAGTTAGCCTAACTTTTGGTGCATGTAGTGTTTCCCATTCATAAAACACAAAACAATATACCCATATAGCCACTGATGGTTGGCGGAATTCGTCCTTCTGTATAGGTAGTCCGTTTTTCCTCTCGATTCACTCTTTTCACCAAGATAGCTCCATTTGATCCTGTTTGGAGAGCATACATTCCGCTTACCAGTTGGTCGACGACATGTTCAGGCATCTTGCCATATCTCTTTGAAGATATCTTTTATGCTATCCATCGGCATGACTTTGGATTCTGCGAAAGTCGGAGTTGTGATATCCTTGATTTCAGTTTTGGAATTTTCTTTGAAGGAGCCTGAAAGCCTAAGAATTCTTGAGTATAGGACGGAATAAAAGAGCTCTTTTTTGTATTTATTTAAAAACCTAATGTTCTTTAATGTTCTGTCGCTTGAAGGCAAACAGAACTCATCTCTTTGTTCGATTTCGCCAAAATACAAATATCGTCCAGATAGAGGGCTAAATGAACCCCTTTCTTTCTGAAAGGTTCGATGGCATATCTCATCAGCTTGGTGAATACTTGAGGTGCTACACTTAGATAGAAGGCTAGTGAACGGTATTGGTAGACCTTGCTGTTTGTTGTGTTTGAAAGACAAGTATCTTCTTGATGTCGGGTGAATTGAAACTACGACATATGCATCTTTCAAGTCGATGTTGCATATAAAATCGTCCTTCTCGGTTAGCTCTCGTAATTCAGGTACACCTTCCATCTTGAAATGATGGCACTGCAAAAAATTGTTGAGCTTTTGGCAATCTAATATGGGTCTCCTCTTGGTAGCTTCTTGGATTGTGAAAAGATTCTACAAGTATTCCCGGCTCTGTGATGGAGCTACTTCGATAATACTCGACTGTAAAAAGGTTTTGACTGCTGTATCCACTACCAGTTGTTCTTTTAAAGAGAGATTTAACCGACTTATACGCCAAGATGCCAGCTGCTTTGTCCATTAAACCTTGTAGCCTTACTGTATTACTGACACTGGCCAAGGATGATTGACCAGTTGCTTCTATTATTGTACAAAACCACTTAACTGCCCCCCTGGTCGTACGCCATATGCTGAAGTGGTGTAATGGTTATGTGAATTTTGCTGTACTTGTTGAGTCTCAGGTGGTGATGGTGATGGAGGTGGCGTTGCATGGATTATTGTCTGGGCTGAATGGATTGAGGGTCTGAGGTCGGCTGGTCTTGGTTGTGGGAGTTGTGACCTCGTGATTTCCATAAAAAAGGCTTCATGTTTCGTCCTCTGTTTGAAAATTCATTTTCTCTTCTGCTGAAGAGACCTCGTCCTCTGAAGCTTCTCCCATAATCGTCACGTTTTGTAGAAGTAGCGCTTTGCAAGATGGCGTGGTCGTATCTTGTTTTGTGGATTTTTTCCATGGTTTCTGTGTCCAAAGCGTACCGTTTTTCACTTGGTTCATCTTCTACCAAGTAGCGGAGGTTGTCTGGAAGTGATTACAAGTCGTCGGAGCTGTTCGATGTTCCTGAGGAGTTCTTCTTCGCCTTGATCCTCATATGCTTGTCGTATGTCATGATAAACGCTGATAGCTGCTTTGACATTGGTGCAAAGACGTTCAACGTCTTTATACTTGGAGTTGGCGTGTTGATAAACGTTAATTTTTCGTTTCTTAAGCTCTTGAACGAATTCTTTGTTAATGGTCTCGCTTGTTGTCCATTCTCCACCTTCAATTTTTGGAACTTCGCGAACGAATCGTCGAATATTTGCTTGTATGGTACTAGACGAAGACTCATTCAGCTCCTGTTGTACGTCTTGATGGAAGGACGAACCGTCGACTCGCTCAACTTCCTGGAGCTTAAGTAATGGGATATTTTTCGTATCTTTGTACCATGGTACGCGGCTTTGAGAGATACGAAGAATATATAAATTTATTATATATACTGAAAAATAAAGCGGCTTTAGGAACATTATACCGCCACATCGTTGTGTGAAACGAAGCCGACAACGATTAATTTGCAAAGGACAAACAGTCAATTAAAAATACTGTAACACATAAGGGGACATGCACCATATCTCAAGATCAAAGGATTGCCCAAATCATAAACTGACAAAGGCTTAAGAACTCCGAGGCCCTTTAGGAAATCATTTCTTTCATAAGAAAATAAAGCTTGACGTGTTTGATGAGATGATCACTATAATAGCTCAAGTACAATCTTATAGTAGATCACGCATTCTACTCTCCTTTATTGTATCTGATAAGAATAACATATAATAATAACTATAGTAGCTATTAGAATAGCATCGATAAATAATCAAATTGACTACAATAGATCATGCTGACAACATTCAACTTTCTCTATGAAACTCACACACAATCCTAAGACCAGAATACAAGACGGTCATCCTCAGCAAAGTACAAACAGTCTGTGAACGTGTACGTAATATTATGATACGTGCACGACTGTTTTTAAATTATTATACAATCACCCATACCGATCAGATGATCGACAAAAAGCTATTTACGCAAAACTTCTAGTATGCAACAACACAGTTAGCTTTAAAGAAGAAGCCGAATACCAAACAGCTTCCAAACGATTTCTAGGATAACTGGAGCAGCTTTTCAACGCGGTATTACGTAGCTTATCAAACGCTTCCAAAGACGAATGGTTACAGTCACTACGTAACCGCTGCTTGCGTTGTAATGACTATCACCTACACCAACAATGTGGTCGAATGCTTTGAGCCAAGACTAAAGGCGCACATTTTACACACTGTTGCAATGATGTTTGAAAAGATGCGTACGTAATTTTTTATTAAAGGCTCTCGTTGTTTGTCTGTTGTAAAACTTAAGTATAATAAAGATATTCTTTGTATAAAGAACAAATTCGAGTTTTATCTATATTTGCATTCAGATGCTGCCAACAATCATGCCAACCAGACCTCTTTTTCAGACATTTATATAAATCTTTTGTATGAGATATTACTGTGCTATGGTTATATTTTATTATATAAATACTGTAGATAATACATCTTATATAGACTTTCTTTTAATATTTGAATTTTATTACAAAAGCAATAGTGTTCATTATTGTTGTTGCTAGACTCTTTAATTACTGATCTTCACTTAACAAGGGAGGCATCCATCCAAAAGTGATGGCTGCAATCAAAGCAATGTATTCTGACATCCCTTAATCTTCTAGTAGAAATACTAAAAAGAGAAAATATAGCATAAGAATAGGACTTACAATAGTTTCAAAGAGATTTAATGTTGAATTAAAAGCGTATCATTCTCTTTTATAGCTTTTTGAAGCCTTGGTGCCTTGATTTTGTTAATTACTATATTAAGAAAATAAGTCAGATCTCATCTTATTGGATAAACCGTTTTCTAAATGTTATGAGTTACATAGTGGGTGAATACTAAGGTAATTCCAAGGTATTTTTTTATATAGGCGCACGTTTTATATGAAGTGATCTTGCAAGAAAAAAGGGGAAACAGAGCGCGTGCAATATAAACCTGCGTGCAATCTTATTGGCCAATTCATACTAATTTAACAAGATCCTAATTTTGTCACCCCGCTTTTTGTTCTTCCCCTTTTTTTCTTGCTTTTTTGCACTCTTTTTTTTTCCCTTTAATCATCTCTAATTTATAAACACAATGGCACACGTAAACATTTACCAAACCATTGGCTTCATCAATAATAGGCTCACCCTTTTCTTGCTCTCTTTTTTTTCTTAGAGACTTGGCGGACGTAGAAAGAACGTAAAGAAGGGATTCCAATTCACCTTGATGGTAGTTGGTATGTTGCCTTTTTGACTTCTGTGTGCTCGTGTTAATAATAAAAATAGGTGCCTCTGGTACTGGACGTACAACCTTTGTAAACACACTTTGTGATGCCCATGTTCTTTCAAAAAAAGAATCTGATAATCCTGAAGACGCACACAAAGAAGAGGGCATTAATATTAAGCCAGTCTCTGTTGGTAAATAACAAAGAAAAAAAAATAGATTTATATATTTAATTGAGATTTATTATCATATAGAATTGGATGAAGATGGTGTCAGGTATGATTAGTTGTCAAGGAGGCAGACCAGCCCAGATTTAGGGGAGGGGAGAGAGAGAGTACAAATAAAAGAAAGAGATAACAAAAGGGGTGCTCAAAAGGGGGTTTAAAAGAATTTGGAAAATAATAACTATGGTCATAGAATCTCTTTAACGATTGTTGATACACCTGGCTTTGGTGATAATATCGATAACGAAGCATGGTATGATACTGTTGACAACAATTTATATAATACTAACATATCTTGTTAGTTTCCATGAAATCGTTGCCTACTTGGAGAAACAATATGATGATATCCTTGCTGAAGAATCAAGAATCAAGCGTAATCCTAGATTCCGTGATAATCGTGTCCACGCTCTCTTATATTTCATTTCACCCACTGGCCATGCGTAAGTATATAAATATATATGACATATATCTGTTTTTTTTTAACAGGTTTATAGTTTACGTGAAATCGATATTGAATTGATGCGCCGTTTAAGTCCTCGTGTAAATGTGATTCCTGTCATTGGTCGTGCTGATTCATTGACTCCTCAAGAACTGAAAGACTTTAAGCGAAGAGTATGTCGTTGATGTTTATTATTATTTGTTTGTTGACATCTTCTTTTTAGATCATGGAAGATATTGAACATTACAATATCCCAATTTATAATTTCCCTTATGATGTTGAAGAAGATGATGAAGATACCATTGAAGAGAACAGTGAATTAAGAGTAAAGAAAATAACAATAATAATAACATATATATTAACATCCACATAGGCTCTTTTACCATTTTCTATCATTGGCAGCGAAGAAGAAATCGTTGTCAACGGACGTACTGTTCGTGGTCGTCAATACCCTTGGGGTGCTGTTGAAGTGGATAATCCTAAGCACTCTGATTTTGGTCGTTTGAGATCTGCTTTATTAAGCTCCCATTTGCAAGACCTTAAGGAAATCACTCATGATATCCTTTATGAAAATTACCGTACAGAAAAATTGTCTCGTACTGTTAATGGCGGTGACCAAGAGTAAGTTGATATTTATTCCACGACACATTCGCTTATACGTACCATAGGGATGCCTCCTTGAACGCTGAGGATATGGCTACTCAAAGTGTCAGATTGAAGGAAGAACAATTGAGAAAGGAAGAAGAAAAGGTAGGATGATATATTATTTATATCCATCAAACTAACATTTTCTTATAGCTCCGTGAAATTGAATTAAAGGTTCAACGTGAAATTCAAGAAAAGAGAGCTGAGCTTTTGAGTAAAGAAGAAGCTCTACGTAACTTAGAAGCTAGATTAGCACAGGCACAATTAGCTGACTAAAAAAAACACAAAGCAAAAAACAATACAACAATATTATTATTATTTTTTATATAATACATGGATCCTTTTTTTTAATAATCTAATTCTTCTTTTTTTAATTGATTGATTTACTTATGAGTGTGGATGATGCCAAGCAGCAGCCTTCACTTGATGACACTTTGAAGGAATCAGCATACTACATGGAGGATACAAGTGAATACAACAAGTCAAACAGAGATGCCTTTAAAAAATATTTAAGACTACATCAAGATGAACTGCGTAACAAACGTAGCTTTCGCAAAGGCAATTTTACTAGTCCAACTTTCAAACCGTCACCTGTATCAGGAAATTTCAAACATGTTGTCAAGCATGCCCATCCTAATTTGTATGCGTGTCAAATAATACAACAAAAAATAACGACTAATTTATGTTTAGAAACCACAATTATACCCCACTTGAGAAATGGCTAAAGGAACAAAAGAAAGAACAAACGTTGAAACCAGACGAGGGGCAACAAGCAGCACAACAAAGGAATGAAAAGACGGAGGATGAAGTGCTTATGGAGCAATTGAAAAAGGAGATATCCAAGTTGGATAGCGAGATATTTAGACTTGAACAGCAGTATGCTGCATCTAGGAAAAAGTGTGATTTTGTCAGTGTCAAGTTGCTATGCATGCGTATGACGTACGGCTCAGAATAGCAAATTATTTCCAATGCAGCATATGTGCTATATCTAACTCATTTTAAAGAAATAGTTCAATCGACTCGCAGATCCAGTGAATACCCTCTAGATCATTTCGAATGTCATTCCGCTTGTTTATAGTGTTTAATAAAACTATATATGGCTTCAAGATATATCTGTAATTTTAAATGCTTTTTTTCTGATGGTTCGAGAATCATCTCATAGTCACAACAATAAAAGTTAAATCATTAGTGTCATCTTTTCGTAATGAACCTTCACGAACATTCCTTACACTACGAGAGAAAAACGATTAGAGCTGAACTTTACAAACTAGAAAATTTCAACCTTCTGGATTTTTCTGCATGAATGAGTATAAAAAGTCAGCAAGTTGGAGAGACGATGAAATAGAGGAACAGATATTTTTTTTTTCTTGTTAAACAAACATCATCATGGCTCTCACTCAGCGCTTGTTTACTGATGCTTTCCGTGATATGGATCGTACCTTTGCACTGTTGGACGATCCTGATTTCCTAGACACGGCTCGACGTTCTTTGAGCTCCGCAAGTAACGCAGTTCAAATGCGCCATCCTCCTACAGATCTGATCGAGACAGAATCCGATTTTGAATTACATTGCGAGTTGCCTGGTTATGACAAGAAGGATATTCATATCGAAATGATGGATAATAACACCATTGCTATCAGTGGTGATGTTCAAAAAGAGAAACGGACATCTTTAGAAGATACAAAGAAGAAAAAGAAGAGTAACAAGAATGAACAAGAGACGACAAACAAGTCACCCAAGTGGTGGAAAAATGAACGAGTACACCGTAGCTTCCAAAGAACATTCTCGCTTCCTTCGCCTGTCAAGTCTGATGGTATCACTGCTACCTATGAAAATGGTGTATTAAAAGTGATTGTTCCAAAACAAGGAAGAGAAACTAAACGTATTCGAATTGATTAAGCTCTTTCTGTGTAAATATGTACTTGCTTTTTTTTTTGTAAAATAAAAAAGTTTCTATTGTTTTACTCCAAAGCATAAATGAATTTATATGCGCTACAGTTCATTACTCTCTCTCTTAAAAATAGAGCAGCCGAGAATATAAATAGGCGTCATGGGTATCCCGTATCACTAGATATAGAATCAATTGAACTAGCCAAGCCAATACTTCATAACAGAGCCGTCGACTGTTCACACAAACGATGTCTTCACTGTATCAGTTGAAACAAACACAAGGCAAGTCCAGCCACCTTTCAACCTATTCAAAATGCAGGGCATCATCATCTATTTGTTCTCATCAGCGTCTTCGGCCAGCAAGTATTTCGGCGCTAACGTGCTTGACAGGGACCACTATAAAAATACCATTACTGTATTGCCTCTTTTACGCGTCAATATACACTTGATAAAAGTGCTTGTACTGCACAATACATTTGATTTATCAAATTATTGTAAATAGAAGTTAACTATTCTACTAAAATATGGGGAGTTTCTATGGGTGTATTATTGCTGAGTGAGTGGGATAACATACTAGTGACCTGTTACAGTTCCTGGGCTTATCTTTGCAGGACTTGGTTTTTTATGCCGACTGTAATCAAGCCTGCGGCAGAGATATAGTGCTCAATACAGACGCTGTATTAGACCAGGCAACAATAGGACTGGAACCTTTTTTTGAATCAAGCTCTTGAACGATTCATATTTATATCACAAATTGGATCGTCAAGAAACACACAAAGACCATGAGCTCAAGTCCCCCCATTCTCATCAACAACGTTTTCCATGTCCATCTTCATACAAAAATGCTAATCAAGTGACGTCGTTTCTAAAAATACGACTTTGCCATTTCTAAAAATGCGAAATTGAGTTTAATTGGCTGCAAGCACTGTACGTTTTACTTTATTTTTTACTCTCTTTCTTTTTCTTTTTCTTTTTTCATTATTGTAATTAGAGGTAAGTTAACTAGTATAAATGATTACTTTTTTGACTAATCTAAAATATAGAAAACTCATTAAATTGTAAGTTTTGGGTTTAGTTTAAACCTTTTTTATCCTTTTTTTTAATTTATACAATTACTCTAACAACTTTCTTTACACACACACTTACACACACTTCTATATACTTTTTAATCTCAAACTTGTATATATTCTCTCTCTCTATCTCTTCATTTACTTTTTTATCAATCGTTCTGTGTGGATTTATATCTATTTTACTTTTATTCCCATGTAAATTGTTACTCCTTTTTGTTAAAAAAAGTTTTTTATTGTTTAAAACAATCTATCATGAATGAAAGTCAACTCACTTGCTTTTTTAATAGATGTAGTCAATACAACAAATGAAACGATCTCAAGATACTCAAGAAGCAAACGACACAAAGAAGCCTAGATTAAATCAAGCCAACTACAACAACAAGTAAACTAAAATAAGATATATCGAATTTGTATAATGATTCTTTATTCTTTCCATAGTGATCCATACGCACAGTATAGCTTATTATCACAATATGGTACAGCATTTGCGCAGAACGGAGTTACTGTAGGAGGTTATGGACAACCTGCTTCCATGTATGGACTTGGCTACGGTAATGCCAGCATGGTTGCGCCTTATGGATATCCGCCAGCATTTTTTAATCCAGCAGCAGCAGCAGCAGCCTACAGCGGAGTATTAGGGGAGGGCAATCGGACGATTTATTTAGGAGGTGTCCCACCCAATACGCCACCTGGCGACATTTTGAAGCAAATCAAGTCAGGAGCTATTGAACAATATAAGGCACTTCCTGAAAAAGCATGTGTATTTATCACCTTTGTCGATGCCTCTGCAGCCCACATGTTCTATCAAGAATTGATGCTCAAGAAGTTGGCAGTGAATGGACAAGAACTCAAATATGGATGGGGAAACTCAACTTCGATGTCCTTATCCCTCAAATTGCAGATTCAATCAGGAGCTACGCGATCTGTATATATAGGCAGATATGATGAGCAACAAGTGTCAAAGGAGCAATTAGCCTCTGAAGTCACCAAATTCGGACAGATTGAAGATATTAAGGTTGTACCCGACAAGCACTGCGTGTTCATCCACTTTTTGAGTATCAGTTCAGCCATTAAATGCGTCTCTGAATTACCTAATCAACCAAGCTTTCACAACAAACGCATCAATTACGCCAAAGACCACTGTGCGAGCAACTATCCAGCAGATGTACTAGCATCCAATCCAAGCCCAAGCTTTGGATTTGATGCGTACGGTAATCCAGTCATGAATTCAATCAATTTGAATACCGCACCTACTGCAAACAATATCCTTCGTACACTCTACATTGGCAATATACAATCCGAAGCCAAAGTAGAAGATATCTGCAACTCTATTCGAGGGGGTAATGTATTACAAGTCCGATACTTTCCCGAGAAGCATATCGCATTTGTCAGTTTTATGGATGCAGCCACGGCCATTGCTGTATTTAACTACGCCAATAGCCAAGGGATTGTCATTAAGGGTAGAAAAGTAAAAGTTGGATGGGGTAAGCCATCAGCTATTCCAACACAGCTGATGCATGCTATTCAACAAGGAGCTACACGCAATGTCTACATTGGAGGAATCGAAGACGTTTCAGAAGAGAAACTAAGGCAAGACTTTGAATCCTTTGGAGAGATTGAGTTAGTGAACATATTTAATGAAAAGAGATGCGCATTTGTCAACTTTACGAGCGTTCAGAGTGCGGTTATGGCAGTGACAACTGTGAAACAAAAAAATCCATTCTATCAGTCATTGAAGGTCAACTATGGCAAAGACAGATGTGCAAATCCACCTAAAATAAGGAGCAACAAGGGAGATGCTGAACCAAAACTAGGCATGGCTGCAGAGCCAGCCAAACAACCAGAACAGCAGCAAGTACAGTAGTAATGGGCAATGAATAAAATTAATCATTTTCACATGGTTCTTTTTTTCTTCTTTTTCCATTGCTTACGAGGCGATGACTCAACATAAAAGCACCGTGTTACACTGCAATTTCGCACACCTGAAAAAAAGGGGAGTAGCTTTAGTTTTATTCAAAGATAACAGAGCTATCTTTATGAGTTACATTTTATTAAGCCCATTTTGTATAGCAGCGATGGCTTGTAACTATTGTTTGCTAGATCCATACAATAACAATCAATTATATTCTTCTTTCAATAGATAATAATGCACGCCTCTCTCATAGTTTGAATTTTT